CTTGAATCATTCAATCGTTATGGCTGAAGGTTACCAAGTTCTTCCCGTTGATGGTAGGTTATACCTCCACAACATGCCCAGGAAAGTTTCTGTCGAAGTGAATCTCATTTCAAGCATTTTGTGTGATCGCCCGGAAACTTTGTCATTGGATTTCGAACGTAATGTGCTGGATGACTCTAATCTCCTTAGAGCTTCTAGTACCATTATTAGTAGATTGAAAATGCCAAATCCTTTGAAGCGCCCCTCTCCTTCTTCTGCTCGTAAATTCAAGCCCGTTAAGGTTATTCCCCTGAATTTCTTTACTGATGATATGAGTGGAAATCGAACCAAGAAACACAACAAGTTTGATAGTTGGATTATGGTACCCGCCGCTTTGCCTCTTGCTGAACGACATGCACTTGAGAATACAGCCTTCATCTGTACAGATCATTTGCTGTCAGCAATGCAAATGCTTCCTGCTATTGTTGAAGATCTTTTGTTGTTGGAGAAAGGTGTGGAGATGTTTTTGCCTGGTGGTGAGGCTGTCGTTGTCGTTGCTCCGTTGCAATTTATCACTGCTGATAATGCGCGTCATTCGGAGCTTGCCTCTAGTCGCGGTGCCATTTCAAAGATGCCATGCCGAAAGTGTGTTTGGGAATTAAAAACCCCAGCTCGACTTGATGGCAGTGATTATCGTTGTGACCCTCGCTCTGAAAAAGTGGTTGCAGATATGTACGCGCGATATTTGGCTTCTGGCGGTGACAAGACTTTGTTGGTAAATGTCGATACTGGTTACAAACTTGTTGGTGGTCAGGCTCTGGTAGACCTTCAATCGTTCGATACGATGTTGGATTGTCCAATCGAGCTCCTTCATACGATAATGCTTGGTGTCGGCAAAGCCTTGGTAAAAACATTGTTGCAAGACCATCTGAATCCAACTGAGAAAAGTATCCTCGAAACAAGATTGCATGGTTACGTTAGCAAAGGGTTTACCCGAAAGCTGCGTTCATCATTGCGTCTTCATGGATCTTTCTTAGGTAGGGATTACAAAATCCTCGTTCAGCAAGTACCAATTCTGTTGAATCAATTGATCTGTTCTGGTGAAATTCGACGTGATGACGGTGTTCTCTTGATCAAGACCTGCTTTGAAAATTTGGGCAAGTTAGCTTCGCTTTCTTATATCAGCAAAATCAAGCATAAGTCTGATTCGTACCTGAAGTATGTGGAGTTCACTTACAATGATCTTCGTGTCTCGGTGATGGAGCATGATGCTTACATGAAGCGAAAGTATCCTAACAGAAGGGGTGGCTCCGTTTATAACTCCAGTAAAATGCACATCATGCATCATCTTGTTGATGATATTTATCGATTTGGATCCCCAATCTTTTATGAAACTGAGAAGGGTGAGCAATTTAATAAATTCATTCGAGAGTGTCTGTTTCGTACCAACAGACATAATCCTTCAAGAGATGCCGCTGTTGCTTTTGCAAAGAGGTTGATGGCTCGACATGTATTGACTGGTGGTTCTTGGTTGGTGGCAGGCCAGGATTATCCAGTTAAAGCTTCAAACAAAGTCCTCGAGGTTGCTGTGTCCTTCAAGTCTACTATTAGAGACTTTGTTGATAATGACGATGATGACAAGACCATGAAAGTTGGCTCAACCGGAATTTTTCAAAACGGAAACAACCTCTTTATCGGTGAAGTCGTCAAAATCGATGCGTTGACTGGTGCTCCCACCATCGTTGAATACGCTCTTTGGTGTGAACGTGGACCTGTGACAAGATTTGAACTTCTAAGCCAGTCCGACGGTTTAAACTCCTGCGTTTATTACGTTTGTAACAAAGACAATGGAGGAAATCTTGTTGTTGAAAAGCTGTTGCGGACGAAGTCGACATACAGAGAAACAGAGTGTCAGTTCGTGGAGATGCTTGATTTTTCAAGAAAGATGAACCCTCGTTTCAACTTAATCAACACCAGCAAGTTTGGCACCTTCTGGTGGGCATTGTCTCATAAAGTTAAAAATTTATAAAATTTGTCTTAATAAAAAATCATGTTCATGTACATGTTAATTTCGCCATGTTAATTTTTACTTAGAAGTTTTTTTTTTTTTTTTTTTTTTTTTCGTTATTTCATTGGATGAAATGATTTTAAAAGCATAATTGTTTCCCAGAAGAGACTATCTACAAATTGAGCTAAGAAGATTTGGTGGGCTGGCTATTTTATTGGACGAAAGATTTTAAAAATAAAGTTTACATTCAGATGAGGGCACCTTACTATATAAGTTGAGGAGACTCAGTTGGTGTGTAGTGGTGTATTTGTAGTTGAGCAGTTTGTGCATTGAATATCTAGCGCTGTTTTGGGAGGCGTGGAAAAGATATCTTTACTCGTCCAATCAGGATCGCTGCCATGGTCATCCTCTTCAGATTCGTTTGGCACTAGACTCTTTTGCTCTTCATCACTGTAATAATGAGAATCATATATATTGCTGTTTGTATCTATAATACTAGACAGGTCATTTGTATCGAAGCGGTCAAACCCAATAAAGTCTAGTGGGTTTTCCTTGAATAATGTATATGTGTCCAGAAGAGGAGATGATGTTGCCACGGTATTTATAAACATTGGATTATACAGTGGATATTCCATAACAGTAGAAGGATCAATGGAGTCTGTGGGTGTAAATAGATCCATATCGTATAGATTGTCTTGTGATTGATACATAATTGAAAAAGAGGAGAAATAAAGTGGAGAAAGAGTAAAGAGAAGTTTGACCAAGTCTTTAAACTCGTTTTATATGGTGAAATGTCTGCATCAAATGACGAGCCTTGCCTTGACATCGTGCGGTATGTGTAACATAAAAAAAAGCGGAACATTCAAATTTGTAATAAATTTTTGTATTTAATTTTTAGGCAAAACTTAACTATATGCTTTGTTCTTCACATCATGCATATGTCGAAAGCAAATGAGGTTTACAACACATCATGGTTGATCATAGGGAAAGGTAGTCTCACGGTCCAAAGTTATTTATAGAAGATGTAAAAGTGTGTTACAACATGGAATTAGACACAGTTGATTATGGCATTAATTATACAAAAGCGTTTAAATTAATTTACAGAAAATAAAAAAAATAAAGAACATTTATAAAAGTGGTAAAATAAAGACCTTAACTTGGAAGTATACATTTATATCTTTTGATGTGATGCTCATTAAAAATAAGGGCTTTGCGTATCCCTTGGCATTTATAAGTCTATTTTATTTGTTTATGCCGGCTTCTTTTTTTTAGTTTGTCAAACCCGGCAAAGCCATTTTACCAGTCTAAACAAAGCACTTGCAATATAATGGGCGGGACAGTCACATTAAAGAAAGACAGAAACTACATCATAGCATTCGATTTGTAACTTCTAGAACTACAACCGAACTAACATATTCATGTACTCTACGTTAAGCTTTCAAAATACGACAAGTCTTTAAAAAACAAAGGAGAAGGTTCTGATGACGACCTTCCGGCTTCTATCTGTGCTAGACTTTCACCATTTTACGAAAATGAAATTGAATTTTAATCGATACTACCAGCAATAATAATGGTTCCTACTCCTCCTACTTTGCGGGCAGATTAACATTTTCATTAGCCTCGAAATACGTAAAAGTGAGTTGATCTTTTCGCGTACTTTCAATGCTCGAAGTTTTTATCTTGTTATTCTTCGTATGTGGTTGTTTTAGTATTTACAGATTAAACATATTTTTCTTTGAAACCCGCATAGCAATGACGAACTTTTAGGTTTTTCTCGCAAGATTTAGAATCTAGAGAGAATTTACACTCCCTCTACATCTAAAGCAATAGAGGCATTTTGAACCCATCGAAAGTTCCCAGAATCGAATTTTTATTGGTGTAACTTGAATAAAATAAATGCTGTAGGTCAAAGTCCCCAAAGCAATAAACGACCTTCCAATTTTATACAACATAGACAACACATCGTACACGTTTTTAAAAAATAGGCTTTTCAAACCAAACCTCCGTTTCGGTAAAAATTTTGACCTTCACTATTGTTCGGTACGCTGTGCTTTGAAAAAAGCCTCGTTTTTAAAAATATTCCATATTTTGAGGTTGTTGGTAACATATAATTGATCAATTGCCTCCAACATAGCACATTCTACAAGTATACAAAAATCTCCTCGTGCATTGTAATTATTATTTTTCAACAAGGGGCTCCTGGCAAGCGCAAGTCATTCGCTTGCGCTGATAAATTCCAAGCTCTTTGTACACACCGCCTTCAAATCTCTCCTTTACGACGGCATCAGCGTTATGTAAGTGACATAGTCGCCATTTTTTCGCAACAGTTTTGAAACGGATGAATTGTGTATGGTTTGTCTAAAAGAAATTTAGCGATATCATCAGCTGCTGATTCAATAATATTAGCGGTCCTAATAGTATGCATTTCAAACTGAAATTGTATAAAGTAGTGATGTATATATATATAATTTTTTTTAGTACCGTGATCAAGATCATAATAAAATTAAACTTGCTGAAACCCCTAAAGCTGGGTTATGTCAAAATGCTTTGATTGCTTATTCAATCAACCAAGATTTGGAACTTTACCTATGATAGAAATATTTGCAAATAGCAATTCACGGTTAATGAGTCGTTTTAAATACAAATAACCCATGCTTATGTGATGCTAAACTTAATAATTGCTTATCAGTTTCTCGGCAGTAGCATTTGTTTTACGAAATTCGTTTTTGGACATCACGTAGCTTCATAAACATCATATGTAGTTGTAGAAACAGATTGTTTGCATAAAAAAACGATGAACTGCCACGAGGCACAAAACAAATAAATTGTGAGTTTTTTTTTGAAATGATCATCATACGTGGGCGAAGGGCCAGTATTGTGCTAATACGATGTGCTGTTTTTGTTTAAAAAAAAGGAGCTATACGACCACTTTCGGACACTATGGAATTAAAATCTTATACATATAAATTATAAGAGGATTATTCTGCATACAAATTGAATTTTGAACTTTAATTTATAGTGGGATGCAGCCATGTTTTTTCCAAGGGTTTTTCAGCGCTTTGCTTTTTAAAAGATCCAACTGTTCAATTAGTCTGGCGCGCGTCTCTCTGTCGAATATGTCAGTAAGATTAATTAAATTACTTCTAAATTGTTTGAACTTACTTTGGAGAAATAATATCGTCTAAATACCCTCTTTTGGCAGCAAACAGAGGTGTGGCAAATTTCTCTTTGTATTCTTTTCTCATGGCGGGTTTATCTGGATGGTTTCTAAAGATAATTTCTACAGCACCTGCAGCTCCCATTACGGCAATTTCAGCAGAAGGCCATGCAACACTATCGAAGATGAGCACATCGAAAAAAAAAGCTACTAGTTTTAAGCACTTACTTGTAATCGCCACGTAAATGTTTTGAACTCATGACAATATAGGCACCACCATATGCTTTGCGGGTAATGACGGTTAATTTCGGTACAGTCGCCTCACAATAGGCATACAATAACTTTGCTCCGTGTCGGATAATACCAGCATGTTCTTGTGCAGTACCAGGCATAAAACCAGGTACGTCAACTAGTGTTAAAAGAGGTATATTAAACGCATCACAGAAACGAATAAATCTGGCAGCTTTCACAGATGCATCCATATCCAAAGCACCTGACGAAACTAATGGCTGATTCGCTACAATACCCACGGACTGACCATTCAATCTTGCGAATCCGATCAGTATGTTTTTTGCGAATTTTGGCGCAATTTCGTAAAACGAGTGAGTATCCACAATTCTTCCAATAACTTCCTTCATATTATACGCAATATTAGAGCTGGAAGGTATAATCGTATCCAACGCCTCATCCTGACGATCAACCGGGTCATGGCATAATTGATGTGGAACGACGTCACGGTTTGAAAGAGGCAAATAAGGAAAGAAATCTCTTACGCTGCACAAGGAATGGTCAATACTTTTTTTTTTTTTAAAATGATGAGTTATATGTTACCCTTGTAATGCTTCAATATCATTGGAAAAAGAGTTATGGGCTACGCCACTTTTTCTGGTATGTGTTCTGGCCCCGCCCAATTCTTCTTGAGTCACCTTTTCATTTGTTACTGCCTTCACAACATCAGGACCTGTGACAAACATGTACGACGTATCCTGAACCATAAACGTGAAATCCGTTAATGCAGGTGAATACACAGCGCCACCTGCACAAGGACCCATAATCAAGGATATCTGAGGTACAACACCTGAGGCAATCACATTTTTTTGGAATATATCAGCATAGCCAGCTAATGAGTCTACACCCTCTTGAATTCTTGCCCCACCCGAGTCTTCTAAGCCAATAATAGGGGCTCCAACCAACAATGCTTGATCCATTACTTTCAAAATTTTGTTGGCATTTGTACGTGATAAACTACCCCCGAGAACAGTAAAGTCTTGACTATAAACAAACACACGACGTCCATGAATCGTGCCATGTCCTGTTACAACACCATCCCCTAATATCCTGTTGGAATCCATGTTGAAATCTGTACATGAATGCTCAACAAAAGCGTCGTATTCGCGAAAAGAGCCTTTATCCAGTAGCAAATTTAGCCTCTCTCTTGCTGTCAGCTTTCCCTGTTGAATAGATTAGGACGAAAATACGGATACGAAGGCTTTTGTTTTGTCGCTTACTTTAGCATGCTGAGCATCTTGCTTTTCCTTCCCGCCTCCCATTAAAATCTGTTTCCTTTTTTCATTGACAATGGAACTAGTGGTGGTATAACTATACTTGTGGGTGACAGCATATTTACATGAAACACTAGCTTCATTTAACTTGAACCGTGCAAATTGTGTCAACTGTCTTTTAGCGAATAACAAACTCATGAATATAAAAGTACAACAAACAGTTTTGTTTTAATCCCAGAGCCAAAGAATAAAAATTTAGATAGTTTATTTGTGTATTTTTTTGTGAGAGTGTGCACAAGTTCAAATGAGTGCTAGCTTCAATCAATTAAAAAAGGTTCTTTCTTGTTCCTTTTTGCATCATGCTTTTATCATGGATAGATTATTAAGAGGGGTAGGTTTGATAACAACGTGACTTGGTAAACTTATTACATGATGTTTGACATACCTAGTTAAAAAAGAAAATACAATTAAGACAAGCTTGACTGAAGTTTCATAAATGGATAAGTTCGGGTACTTACAGTGGCTAATAAATGACCATTACGATTATAATAAAAATAATATTAGTAAAAATAAAAATGCACACGCATACACACGAAAATAACAGATGCCACCTACACAATCGCTGGATACATGATAATCTAGGAAATGAAAACGTTTTAGATATACAGCAAAAATGTATGATTAGACTTATAAACCTTACTTGAGCCACAAAAGAAGCAAGTAATTGGTGCTAATACCAATACACTATTGGACTTTTCCATGTGAATAAAAATGGGTAAAAAAACAAAAGAGAGGAAAAAGCGAGTTTTATTAATCTAGACCCTTCAGATATTTGTTTGATTTAAATAGCAGTTATTGATGATTCACATGATAGCACTGAGGCGCCGTATTTTTAAATTCCATCTGCCAACGCATAGTGATTGTTATCAAAGGTCTTATAAACCAAGTTTTGATTCATCAATTTGCTGATAATTTTCATAATTTGCTCTTCTTGCATTACTCCTTGAAGTTGTACCACAACAGTATGAATATACGCCCCACCTTTATTAGAACTGCACTCGTGAATAGCTCGCTTAACTATAGACTCATTTGGATTATCACTACCACTATGTTTTCTTTCAAATAGACCAAGCTTAAAGGAAAAAAAAAACTTAATTCCACTCTTTCTATAACTCAGATAAATTACTTACAACTGTTTCTGCTTTGCCATTGACGAGATGAGTATAAATACATTCAAGTAAATGAAGAGTAATCTCCATGGGATCTTCAACAACAAATATTCTATGTACCGTGACAGTAACAAGCTTATTATTTAGTACATAAATGCGTCCATATACAGAGACATATCTATTCGAGCTATAGATATACATGTAAGTCAGGGCTGTCTAGATATCATTTTTTTGCTTACTCCATGAGAGTATCACAATAAACATTAGGTTCCCAGACTCGTACGTCTATTGCGCCTGTTCCATCTTCAATAGTATATGAAACACTATTTTCAAGTTTATGGATGGTACGTACAATACCAACAAGCTTAATCTATCATATACATAAATACACCACCAATTATATTAAAATATTTAATATACTTGCATAGTTCACTTTCTTGTTGTCAATATAAAAGCCTGATTCTCCTTTAATATTTACACTTCTTATTTGCTTGATGGTATATGTACAGCATGTGGTACTATAATCGTTAAGCTATAATATATATCAATATACTGTAGACAATGACTATAATATGTAGTTTTAACCTTTGATTGTTTGGGTATGTTGTCTCCGTCGAAGAAAATATGCTCATCATCCTCAAAAAATGTATCTGAACAATGGAAATTTTCTTTTCAAGTTAGTATATGCGTTCTATGTCTAAAAAATAAATGCTTATCACCTTCCATTTTGACTACAATTGAATACAGTAAAGACCAGTAGAGACGCTGATAGAAATTAAAATATTATTACATACTGGCTATGTGACTTTTTATTTTGGCCGAAGAGAACTGATTTATCTTCATTTGACATCATATTCACGGCGTACATGTTATTCTTAATAACTAATAGACTCATACTACGGGAAAAGAGTCAATACCCTCGTTGATTTTAAAATAAATTGTCCTCGTAAGTATAATTGCTGAACATAGAGAAAATAGTCATATCCATTGTAGAGGAGAATGTTGATACATAAAGAAGAATACGAAAGCTGATTAATTTGGAAAGTATCTAACTTATAAAGACATAATACTAGAATTAGTAAATGGCTTTGGCTAATAATTGGCCTAATAATTGTCATTGGCGGATATTTTTTATTTTTATTCTTCTACGTGTCATTTTTCCTTTTCCCAGTTATATAAAAATCGGGTTTATATTTTTGTTCATGCTGTTCTCTTTTCTTCCTCGGTATTCTAAAATGTCAGCAGAAAAACTATTAGAATTTGTTGATGACCATGTCGGGCTACAGTTAGCCTCGGTGGCACTTTTAGGTCTTGCTCTGTTCCCAATCTACGCTGGCTCATATGCCTCATTGCGTGCCATGAAGCACGAAGCTTCCACAACAAGAGTAAGAAGAGTCTCTTACCCAAAGGTAAGTCCACTCGATGACTCTGATGACGAAGGTGAAGAAAAATCCAAGGTGTTAAGTGTCAAGGACATACTTATGTTCCCCATTGCTGGATCCGTACTCGTTTACAGTGCTTATTTGGCATTATCCGAAATCGAGCCTAAATACATCAACCAAGCTACTCAAGTCCTCGCATCTATATTATCTTGTACAGTGTTTTCAAATACAGCGGTCTTGTTGGCCAAAAGAATCCTACCAACGGAATGTCTCAAAAGAATTACAAAGTACAAGTTCAGCTTCAGTAAAAAAGACCAAAGTATGTGTAAAAAAAAAAAGAAAAGAAACCCTTTAGACAGCGTATTAACAGTGCCATAATAGAATTGTGCCACTTAAATGTCACAATCATTCATTTACTGATGTTCATAATTTCTGTCGGACTCGCATTTACTTATGCCGTGTCAAAGTGTTGGGTCATTGGGAACTTATTCGCTATTAGTCTTGCCACCAGCGCCATTGCTTTATTATCGGTCGATTCCTTTTTCACTGGATTTCTTTTATTGTTGGGTATGCTGGCATTTGATGTATTCTGGCTATTTGGAACAGACATCCTGGAGAATATATCTGAAGCTCTTACAAACACACCTACCAGTGTCGTTTGGCCTAGAAATATCAATACCTATCTATTCAATAAGGTTATGAAAACAGATCATTATTTCACCATGTTTGGTTTAGGAGATATAATTGTACCAGGTAACAAACAAAATGTCATAAAAAAAAAAATCCCCTAGCATGTATTGAAATTTTTTTAGGTATCTATATCGCTTATTGTCTTCGATTTGACAAGTTAAATTCATGGAAGACTGCGTCATCCAAAAGAAATAGCGATTTCACAACTACCCGTTTCTCAAAGCCATATTTTACAGCTTCTTTGTTAGCCTATATTGCTAGTGCAGGCGCATCGATATACACAGTTCACTTTACCAAGAAGGCTCAATCTGCCTTGCTTTTCATTGTCCCTGCTTTAATCCTTTCCACACTTTTAACTGCTTTAATCAGAAACGAATTAAGTACTGTATTAAGCTGTTCCGATGTTGTTAAGACATTTGGCAAGTTATGTTCATTCAGTGCCAATGATGATGATAATGAGGAGGAAGAGGAGGATGACGATGAAAGACCCAACCGATACAAGAAAGTAACTAGAAGTACTACTACTACTACTACCACACGAGGTGGAAGAAGTGTATCAAGAGGTGGAACTAGAACCAAGTCTGCCATCCGAAATTTAAGCATTGATATGTCGAGCGAATCTGATGACTGCAACTTTGAGGCCAAACAAAATCGTACCATCGAAGAAGATGTGGTCGCAGAACATGCTGGACCAAAGACTAGAAAGAGAAGAGGCTCCAGTAAAGCCAGTAAAAAGTAAATTCATTTTAATAAAGTTAGTTATATGTTACATAGTAAGTCTATACAAGCCAGCAGAAATAAATGCTGTAGGAAAAATGAGTGAGGCGTCCTATCTACGAATCAATTTCTAAAATGGTACTTACCTACACCAGTGACACCTAATCCAATGGCTGTCTTTGCTCTACCGGGTAATTTATTTACTACGGTAGCTTCACGTAAAGCATATCCACCCAAACCTCCAAAAGCTGCCGCACCTGTGAGTTTGCAAGGTAAACAGTCCACATATTCTTTTTCAATTTTCTCGGGGTTTTCGCCTGAAAGTGCAGACTGTATTTTCTGAATTAAGAAGAGTTGCTTCAGCGATTATGCAGATGAATGTCCAAAGTACACTTACACTAATCATGGTAAAAGGTAAAAAGGGAAGATTTTTGTCTTTCAAGACCGTCACATTTTTTGCTGTCCAGTTGAAACAATTCTTTTCAGAATTTTCGTAGTTGTTTTCTTTAACTTTCAAACCAAAATGAATTTGACAAGACCAGCACGCGTACAAGTAACGTAGAATGATAATTTTAACTCATCATAAAATACTAAAACTAAAATTTAGGTCACTCAAGCAGAACTTGATGATTATTTAAAAGACAAAAGACCAGAGGGAGGAACTTATAATATTTGGCATCATCGTTATTCTGGACTTGAAAGGGATTTCAACAAGCAGAGGTTAGTAACTAAAAACTCAATTGACATATTGGTATACTAACATATTGCAATAGTGTTCGACCCAAGTTTAAAGTAGACATTGCAAGAGATGCCGGGTTAACGATTGGCTCTAGAAATAAGAATGCGTATTTTTGCCTGTTTTTTGCTAAAGGCATGTGTTCGCAAGGACCAAAGTGTGCCATGTGGCATCGTGTCCCAACCACAGAGGATAAATTAGAAACCACCATCGATTGTTTTGGACGTGATAAGTTTACCGAGTTTCGTCAGGATATGGGTGGTGTTGGTGGATTTATTCGTGAAAACCGAACATTGTATGTGGGTCGTATTGCCATTTCATCAGACACAGAAAATGTTATTAGACGTCAATTTGGACAGTTTGGACCCTTAGAAAGAGGTATTTACGATATTTTGTTTCTTGTTTTATGGGTATTGACCACTGTGTTATTCAGTTAGAATTTTGAAAAACCGTGGTGTTGCTTTTGTTACATATAAAACCAGAGCCAATGCTGAATTTGCAAGAGAAGCCATGATGAATCAAAACCTTGAAAATAACGAGATTATTAACGTTCGATGGGCCACAGCAGATCCCAATGCGATCGCTAATCGTTTAGATGCTGAAGATGATCAGTTGGAAGAACAAAGAGTTGCACAAATTCTTGCCGAAAACGCAGGTACTAACGAAGATCAAGACGTTGAATCTGAATTACCAGCCGAATTTACCTCAGTCAAACGTGATATGGATGAAAGTGGCTTTAACCAAACAGAAAGACATCTGAAGAAACAAAAGCCAGAAGAAGTCAAAGCAATAACTGAAGCACAAGATGCTTACACACAAGAGGATTATGATAATTATTATCGTCAACAACAACAATATATTGAATATCAAGAACAACAACAGAAAGAGAATGAAAAGGTTGGTGGTATTATTCCCAAAAATATTTTGGCCAATTTAAAAACGCTTGCCAAAAATACAACAACCACACCCGTTAAAACGCCCGAGAAGAAGACTACGAGTGGGTTGGGTAATTTGGCTGACTATGGTAGTGACAGTGAGGAAGACTGATTTTTATTTTGTTAAAAATTAAAAACTGTTAATAAAAAAAAAAACTTATTCACTCAGCCTTTGTTGATACTTTCGTATCGGGCCACTCAACAATTATCAGCTTTGCAAATACAAATTATCTGCTCTGAACAAGGATGGAGAATCATCATTGTGAATAAGTTTAAAAGAAACAAAGAAAATATTTTCCCCCGTCTCTTTTATCAACAAAAAAACTATAGCAAGATGACGTCCCTCGTTATTATTAAATCTCAGTTTTCTGCTCTCCTCACTCTCTTCCTTTGCACGCAACCATGAGTGAAGTATTATATTGCGATAATCCTGAATGGAAAGATGTAACACCTGTACCTCAGGATGATGGACCTAATCCACTTGTGCCTATTGCGTATTCAAAAGAGTGTAAATTAAACGTACCAGTGTCATTCTTCTCCTTCTTTTTTTTATTTTGCTGAAACTCTTTTCTATATAGATTCAGATGCCATGGACTATTTTAGAGCTGTGACAATTACTAATGAAAAGTCACCACGCGTATTGTCCTTGATTGAAGATATCATTGAAATGAACCCTGCTCATTATACCGTCTGGAACTATCGCCAAGTGGTTTTGTTTGCCTTAAACTCGGACTTGGAGGAGGAATTAAACTATATCGACGAAATCATTGCTGAACAGGCCAAGAATTATCAGGTTTGGTAAGCAAAAAAAAACTAAGCACGATTCATAATCAATATCTAAAGGCAATGGTAGGCATCATCGTCAAGTGATTGTGGACCGATTGGATAATGGCGATAGAGAAATTCCTTTCATAAATGCAGTTTTGGAAGAGGATTCAAAAAACTATCATGGTTGGTCTTATAGACAATGGGTTGTCAAGAGATTTAATTTGTGGAGTAGTGAATTATCCTATACAAATGATTTACTATTGTTTGACGTAAGAAACAACTCAGCCTGGAATTACCGCTATTATGTCTTATTCAATAGCCCAATTTTACCCTCAGATGAATTGCTTCAAGAGGAAATTAAGTAAGGTAAATTCGTTTATCATTTGACGAAATGTATTAACATTTTACCCAAAAGCTTCACACAAAAACAAATCACTTTGGCGCCAAACAACTCGAGCAGTTGGTCATACCTCAAAGCGTAAGTAAAACTTCTGGACATATTTGGTGTTGTATCTGATAAATTTCTAAAGATTACACGAGAAAACAAACAAGCCTTTACAATCTTTTGAGCCATTTTTAAAGACACTGATCGAATCAAAAGTGGAATCACCTTTCCTTTTATCAGCTTATATAGACATTTATGAGCAGAATGCAAAGCTGGAAAAGGCTCCTGTCAATAATGCGGCTCTCGAAATGTGTTTGGAATTGGCAAATAAGCAAGATGCCATTAGAGAAAAATTTTGGAATTATAAAAAGCAAAAGTTAGAGAAGTTAAATAACACCCAAAAATAAGCCTCGGCTACTATACGGTTTATCAAATAGATGAATTTAGCATACTATCAAATAAAGATCTGCATAGACCCCAATTGCATATACAACGCCAATTTGTAGTGCCAAATTTTGAAGGTCTCTGTAAAATTGATAATATTTGAGGCACACACATTTGTTCCACATCAATTAAACAACAAATATGTTTTTGTTCGTATGAACGGGCGGTGCAAAGTTTTAGTGAATATACGGCTTTGGTTTATAATACAAGACTATTAGAAGCTGAAAACCAAAAGATAAATGATTATTGAACATTATTTATTAAAGAAGATAGTTATTAAAAAGTTGTTATTAAGTTTGCGTAAGTGATGGATCTTCGGTATAAATATCTCTCCAGGGAATACTTCGAGTAATACCATCTTGCAATAGTATACGGCAGACTTGTTTGCTGGATAAACATTCGACAATCTGCCCTTGATAGTAGCCACCACCTCTCCATTTAGTATATATTGTGCGATTAATTGTGAGCTTACTAGTCATTTCCTTGATGTAGCTATTTTTTTCATTTTGCTTTTTTGTTATGTTTTGCTAAAAGGTGCCAACAATATTTAGTACATCAATAATTTCATTATATCACTATAGCTTACTGGATCATGTTGAGGACAGAAGCCATCGTAAATAAATGTGCCCTTTTTTGGGCCTGCTTTTCGTATCATGGTACCATCATTCCTGATTGCACAGGTAGCGTGAAAGGATTTCCAACATTTGCCAAAGCAGCACTGCATACATGCGCCCTTGTTTTTTTCTTTACAATATATGCAAGTCTATGTGATCAGATGTTAATTACTGCTTTTGTTAATTATATAACGTATCAATTTACCAGTTTCCAGCGAGAGGTAGGTACTTTATCAATGCCATAGACTAAGTTGTCTTTTATATATGTCTCGTTGATTGATTCGGCACATATTGTATGAATATTTTTGTATTTCCTGCAATTAGAATTTAATCTTGATTGATCATCATCTATTATGGAGCAAAGAATACAAGGTTGAGCAACATGTATATCTGTTTTTCTTTTTTTCCTGCTGGTATCGCCTAGTAAACTGTCAATATCAATTCTAACAGAATCATCAATACAAGTACAGGATTTTGCATTTTTTCCGATTTCAATCCATGAATCCAGTGCAAAGTTTACACTTTCAGCGCAGTTAAAATCTAAGTTATATCCAGAGTGATAACCAAATGGAAAAGTAATGATAAATTCTCCTGGTTGTTGGACACACTTCTGCACTGGAATGTTGTTATTTTGAAGTACTTTTGGTGATACAATAAATGTCTTGTGTCTCAAGAATTCATGACAGTCCTTGTACTGAGTGAAAAACGTGGCTAAAATAAATAAATGCTAATCAGTAGTGACACCAAACTTTAAAATGTTTTTTTTTTCTTTCTACCCTGCATGAAATTTTCGAATCTTTTTTGATAGCAAGGCTGAATCACATACCATTGCTTTGGAGCACCAAAATGTATATAATTTATCGAATACAGATCCATATCCTCGACATGCCATGGAAAAGTGGCTTTCCACATGCCAAAATAAAGGTAGGGTGAATTAACCCCAGGTAAAACCATGCCTAATTTATTTAAGGTATTGTCAAGTGAATTTGGATTCCACGAAGTAACAGAATCATCAAATAGACCTATGTAAAGACTTTAAAAGTTAGTAGATATACAATAACATTGTAACCGTTTTTTAAACCACATTACTTCCAAGAAGATCTGCGCCGTACATTGGTTGGTTAAATGTGATGTTTCTCCAATAATGTCGCTCGATTTCTTTATATTGATCAGTAGTTAAATGACTGGTTGTTTCGTTTGATGCTATCTAAAATATTGGAAAAGACTGAGCTCTAAAGGATTACAAAGAAAAAGTACTTTTATACATACGCTATTGTTACTGCGCACAGCTAAGATGTGTTGTTAATATAAGGATTAATAAAATTAACTCTTTTTTTTTTTGTTACCTTCATTTTCATTGACTTTGGGTGGTCGATGTTCATTCCGATTGCAAAGCTCACGCCATGCTTCCAATGAATAATCCTTTCTGTTTTCAATATTGGTTTGATTAAACACTCCTCTTCCTCCAAAGATGTGTTGGGTCTGATCAGGGTTAATACTAGAACTAAATGATATAATGATATATTTACAATGGGTTTTGTCACTTTGATGTCATCAAAATTTGATGGATCTGGTAGGTGATCTTTCCTATTAAAAAATCAATATTACTAGCTGTACTAGAGTACCGATAATTGACCACTCACCACTCTTTTGGTGGAATAACTTTAATGACTCCGGCTTTTTTGCCATATTCTTCAACACTTGTCATAAAACTTTTAAAATCTTTAAACTCTTCGAAACTTGGTGTGAAAACTGGTATGCTACCACCGTTGTCCTTTAACAAGAATTAATTTTAAATTCTATTTTATTGCTAGAGCACTTTGTAATTTACTTGATCATAATATTCATTAGGTCTAATGTCGTTCATTTGTGGAATGGAGAGCAAGAAAAAAAAAACTAAAAAAAAAAATCCAAAAAAAAAAAAAAATAACTACGAAAAAATACTTTGGAGGCTTTTTTTTCTATTGTTCTAAATGAGGAAATCTTTAGTTAACAGTAATCAGGTTCAGATGCAGGCTTTACGGCAGGATCAATGCCAATAGATTTCATTTTGACTGCAATTTCAAAAAGATAATCATAACATTCTGTCATAGTCTTTGCCTTTTCCCATGATTCTAATGCAACTATGTTAATACACAGTGTTTAATTGCAATCATTGAAAAAAAAAACTTACCTCCCCATACGTATACACCATGACGACGAACAAGAACGGCATTCGTATCAGGATATTTCTTCATGGCCTATCATCCGAGCATTAAAAAATCATGCAGACAACAATCAAGTTAAATTTACCTCAGCCATTCTCTCAGTCAAATCTTCTTCCTCAGGTGTATTCTCAACGATAGGAACAACCAACTTGTCAAAATAACGCAAGTTTTTCTTTGTAGAGCCAATACGAATACCCTTAATCATTTCTTGGTGAGAAATTTCAAAGGTGTCTCCACTGTACAACAAGGTAGCCATGACAGCGTTTTGAGAATGAGTGTGAATACAAGCACCTGCATCACGCATTGTATAGGCGTTATAAAACAATGGAGTACAAGCAGAGGGGTTAAGTACCAAAGGCTTTCTCAACAAGGCACGATCATGTAAATTCATTACAAATAATTGGTGTGATTCCATGCGTTCTTTTTGAACACCAGAGGGTGCAATATAGACATTGTTTCTACCATTCACTATTAATTAGAAACAGGCAAATTGCATGAAGCACATTTTTTCGTTACCCATTTCTGATGCTAATACCACCACCAGTACCAGTAACCCAACCGAGTTGATAAAATAAACGACATAATTCAGGAATCAAGTTGGAAGGATGTTGGGGATCATCACTGCGACAAAGCGCTTCTGAATCTGACACTATTTCTTGGGTTGACATCATGTCTTTTGAGCAGTAAGAGGAAACGAACTCTTTTTTAAAGTGAAGCCCCGGCCTTTTTTCCTTTGGCGGGGTTATTTTTTTGGGGGACGGGCCAAGAAACCCGTCTGAAACAACCACATCAGTAAATCTGACAGGTTATGTAAGTTGTAGTAAATGTTAATAGCCTTTTATTTCACTTTGACTTTTAAGCAATTCTAACATGATAGAGTAGCGAGAAAGTATATGCCTTTACTTGAAGAATCCGTTGTTGTCGTTCCTTATTACGTTTAATGGATCCTTATAAATACTGATCAGCCATGGCCATTTGTTGTTGTAGCTGATTCGGCTTAACCGGGGCAAACAGAAATTTTTTCACGTTCACATTTCTGTAACCAAAGCCTGTATCTTACAAAAACAAAGTTAGCATCAGGTCCATATTGAGCATGAGTGACAATTTAGTGTCATATAAAAATGAAAATAATTATGTAGCCAGTCTGAAGACAAAAAAAGTATAAACGTTTTGAGCCTGTTCACCAATTTTCTGTAAATAAAACTGCCCAAGTGCAACTGTGTGGAGGTCAGTCTCTGTCTGTAATCACCCGCTTTTTGTGCTTTAAACATAAATTCAAAAAAGGGACACAATCTTTCGAAAGTGGTAAAAAAACATGTAAGACTTTTAGTAGATTAAGTCCCCCAGCTAGAGCAGAAACTAGGATACAAGAAATCCGACGTAATCTACACGAATTACCTCGTACAAGCTAGACACGAAAAAAAGAGCTTATTGCCATTTGCGCAACAACGATTTTTATAAGCATTACCGTATTGAATTCAGGGGATGCTATTAGATATAACTTCCTACTCTAGAAGCTTTCATAAAAAAAAAGAAGTCGGCACCTTACAATGCTTATGCAACATGCTTTAATCATTTTACTTTATTTCTTTTTTATGCGTTCCGACTTGAGTCCAGATTGGCTGCTTACTTTGTGTTACTTGTTCAAAAACCAGCTTGAAGATTTTAAACCCAAAACATGGCAAAATGCCAGCAAATGGCTTTAAATGTTAATGACAAGCTGTAATTATTAGTGCGGAAAATCTCTCTTAAAGATAGACTTTAAAATTATTGTCTTTTTATTTATTGTAACATTTCACGAGATATGCATTTGAATTTAAAAAAGGAAATCCCATACAATTTCGCCTCGCCTCAGAGAGGCATTAGGCGTGCTGGCTGGGGAAATAGAAATTGGAATTATATAAATTGCTTTGTGAACAATTACTTTGATTTTTTCGAGGATTATAACTTACAAAGAGATGAATTATATAGTACTATGCTTAGTACCGTCGAGCTAGAATCGATTGATGAAAACAAAAACCCGCAAAAGAAAAGCGGCGCTGATCGCCTGATTTTGATTAACGACTTAGCCATAATGGGAGAATGTTTACTACAAACACCTTCTGTAATTTTCCACGTCTTTCTAAAAGGAAATGTCTAGACCTCCTTATTTTATTTTTTATAATCACGTGATGGTATACACATGAGTCTTCACGTCGATTGACATGCCAAATCGTCTACACTTCATAGGATGTTCAATTTTTGTTATCCATAAAACCCGATTCATTATCATCACAAGCTACTACTGGAGCGCTGATAGACAACTACCAAGTTCCGATTTGCTTGTTGATTTTGCCAATGTTTCTATTTTAAGTAAAGGCCCAAACGTTATGGATGATGAAACAAGCAATTAAATCATTCTGACATAAGCTCTTGTTTATCAGCCTACAAATAAAGCTGGTTCACACACTCTATTCTTTCTCTTTTCTTTTCCAATAACATACTTCTTCTATCGTATGAAAGTAATCGATATCGTAAAAAGGTTAGTTAGTAATAATTCTTGTTTCTATCAAAAGACGCTAAATCGAAAAAGATACATTGCGATATTGCGGCTGCAGCTAGTCTTTGCTATAGGAGGGCGACCTCCTAAGCAGGGTTCTTGAGTTTTTTTTGGAACTCACACACTGTGAATAACAGTGGTTGCACTGTAAATGGCTGTGGTTGCACTGTAGATGGCTGTGCTCATACTGGCCTGCTGTTATTGACCAGAATTGCTGTAAGTGGTATAAAAAATACGTCTGAAAAGAATACGGAGGTCTAAACATTTATTTTTAAAAGTATTATTAAGTAAAAATGAAGTTGCCAAAAAAGCCTACACTTAACTGGCTTAAAGGTTGCACAGTAATTTCACCACAAATCAGAGAGGTGTTAGGAATACATCAAGGTATTCTGGCTGGCGAAGTTAAGAACTGGAATGATGTTAATTTTCTTGTTGACAAGTACTTTGAGCACGTCCAGGACTATAATTTGCAAGGAGATGCATTATATAACACTATGATCGGTACACTCAATAATCTCGGTGGCCTCAAACTAGTTGATGAACATAAAAAGCAACATAGTAAAAGTGGCGCAGATCGTTTGTTTTTAAGTAATGACATAGCTATAAAGATCCCACAGGCAAAACTTTTCATGGATTATTGCAGGAGTGTGAAGGTATACTTATCAAGCCCGGCGATTAAGAATACATTTTTATTCCAGTATGCCAAAGCAAGAGAGAGAAACAGAAGACTCGCGGAGGAAGCAGAAGAAAAGTTTAAGATGCTGCATGACGGAAAAATTATTGCCTACCTTGCCGCCAAAAAAGGTTCGTCAGAAATCCATGACGATCTACAAGCCGAAATGTCTCAAGACATGGGAAGAAAAAGAGGGAAAGGAAAGGAAAGAGAAGTAGAGGAAGAAGAAAAAGAGGATGAAAGGAGAACAAGGCCAAGAACAGTGTCGCCGGTACCATCAGAACATGATGTTAATGGTTTGGTCTATCCTCAACTGTTCTACGTAGTGTCATTTGTAAATAACATTTTCTTTTTTATATTTAGACATTTCTTTTACGACGACAAGTTCTGGCGGAACGTATGAAGATCATTGCGACTCTATGGATAAGAACGATAGTCCAATGCTCGCTTACATTACAAGCTTCGATGAATTATTCCCTATAACAGAGGAAAGCATCTTCAATATGTCGTATATGTCAAGCAATGTACCTCTTATTGAAAGATTGTAAGATCATGTTGTTAATCCACCGATTCTTATGATTTAAAATGATGGCTAATAAATATATACTATTTTTAGGAATATGTCTGGCATCGCTTTTATGAACAGTACAAACAGTAATTGTTTCTTACCTGACCCATTAGATAACGATGTTACCAACATGATCAACAAATTTACCCGCGTAAGTCATACTTTACAATAGCAGTAAATAAGTTGACTAAAAATAGTTTGTTTACGTATATATATAGGCCATTGCATACGATACTGAGGACATGCTTCTTTTCCCAACGAAAATTGTTGTTGGGATGTAAGGTACGGCCCCATCTTTCTTCTCACAATTATTGCGGTATCCTCTATATTTAATACTTTATCTTGCAACAGTAAAAAGACATGATCCGTGATGCAAGTACCGTGGTGGTGCTCAGTGGCGGTGGTGGTGCTCAGTAGCGGTGATGATCGCAGGTTGTTGATGTCTCTGGTAGCTGGTGGTGGCCAGGTAGCAGTGTCGGGTGCAGCAAGTTTTGTTTTTTTTACCAAGTTTGATATAGCTTTGGGTATATTAAGCACATCAACATTAGCGGACGACAATTTTCGGAGGACTTTTTAGTCTCCCGATAATTATCGTCCACGGATTTTCTTGACCGAAAATTATTGTTCGTTCCTGAATTTTTGGTTGGAAGAAAAATTCCGGCCTACTATTTCTCTGTTGAACACAAGGTAGATAAGATATTTTTTTGTAAAGCATTTAAATCATTGGACCATTTATTAACTTTATAGTGATACATTCTTATTTTTTGATGATATGTAGCTTTTTCAACAACTGCAACTATCAAGCACCGGAACAGTTAAAAAATATGGAGAACGACTTTAAAATCAAGTATGTGGTCCCATTTATTAATGCTGCTTTTGATGTGGACGATAAGTTGGTCGTTTATTGGTAAGCTGTTTATATTACTGATAATGTTATTGTATAAAACACAATTCTCATTGGCGCGTGGTGATTTTTAAAATGCAGGGATAAGCCTTTAAATATCTGTTCAAATTCGAGCATGAAATTGCAAAGAAGACAGACAACTGATGCTAATTTCACCACAATCGATGGCATGGAGATAGGCATAATTGAGATCAAGCCATTCCACACACCCTTTGAAATGCTGGAAGAAGATCGAGTCCGACTTGCGGAGATCAGCAAAAGATGCTTCATAAAGGGATTTTCGCTGCAAAGAGTAAAAAACCGAATTTAATAACAAATTGACTGCATTTTTGTAGCTGCCCATTAGACCTTCTGATGGGCAGTAGGAAGTCACCGGGGGGAGGGTTTTCCTTCGGTTCTCCTTAATATTATCTGGCAGAAAAAAAAAACATTTGCTACTATGATTTCAGGTGAACACTGATTTTTTTCTGGTATATAGGTTTATCTTATATTGACTCTTCTACAAATAGGTTTTCATATGGAATACTTTTTTCATGAGTATAATCCTGATGATACGACAGCGACAAGCCAAGGCGAAGTTGATAATGGGGTGAAGAAGTATACGTTTCGGCTATTAAAACATTCTATACTTCCCACTTTCCCAAAAACCTTCAGCCGCATGTCATTGTCTTTAGAATCATGGTTTCATTTTAAAGTAAGGAAAAGAGAGAGAGAGAGAGAAAATATTGTTAACCTTTAATTTTACTAGAAAATGATGGATACAAGTATTGCTGATGTTGCTGATGTCGAAAAGCCATATGTATACAGTGATGCCAACAAAAGGTTTGAACCTACTGTCACCTTGCTGAAACTTGGTGACGGGTAGGTTAAATTTGTGATGCCCTTCCTTATTAATGCTTCCAATGAAATTATTTTGTAAGCAAATGAATTGGTGTAACTGCATGGCCAACATTTATTTTTATGAAACTCAATTTTATAATAAATAAATATTAAGATATTCTGAATAAATAAAATCGATTTATATGTTGTTTATTTTTCTTATTTGTTTATTTCTACGGCTGCACTTCTTTTCTGAGCAGTTACACTTTTTTTCTGAGTAGCTGTAGATCTCGTTATAAAAAAATAGGTATTTGCCATATTTTGAAACATATTAAAGACTTTGTTTAGAATTTACATGAAGAAAGAACTATTGGTCTGGTCAATTTGATTTCACTTGTGACAAATTTTTTAAACACAAAGAAACAATCATTTTCAGCTTAGGGCCATTAATTTTTTTTGGTTAAGGGTAATAAGCTTATTTCATAAAGCAGACAAGTACATGATTTTTAATACGAACTTGATCAAATAATTTAAGGGCATATTTAATATTACTGTCAGTGTATTTTGGAAGGAGTATGCATTGGTAGACTCATATCCGTGAATGATCTTATAATTATGCGCTTATATAAAAATCTTGGGAACGAGAAAAATCTTAGGAGAAATGTTTGTGCCTATTTTTAATAATTAACCTCTACGTATATAATGTATGGGAACAATGCTTTATTGTTTGGAACAACTTGTACACAGTTGTCTGAAAAGTCTTTTTATTATTTGTCCGAATTTAAAGTTATGGACACATGGTAATTTTACCTATGTCTTTGCCGTAATCTTGGTTCACTTGTAGATAGCTGGCTAAATTGCTCTTTTTCCTGACTCTTCTCAATTGGGGGAGATAGCAACGGACTAAGAATGGATCCATATCTTTTCCTTGAGTAAGGGGAGACACTTGTGCTACTTCTGGATTCCTTATTTGCATACGATTTTCTTCTTACACCTGTCAACATGGAAGGTACATCTTCCTCGACATCCTCACTCGACAGTTTCTTCTTTATTTCTTTTCCGAGCGTAATCATCTCATCCTCTTGTTCAATGTTCTCTTTTTCTACTCCAGATATAAAAGGATGTCTTGATGCTTCTTGTGGAGTCAATCGCTTCAAAGGGTCGATTTGCAACACTTTTTTCAAAAAATCTAGTAAATGATGTCTGATTTTCATTTCCTTTTCTTCTTCGATACTCGTCATTTCTTTGCTGCGAGGCATTGGATACTTTAATACAAGCTCATCCAAATTAAATGTTGAAAAATATCTTTTACTTGGTTTCTCTGCTTTCTTTCGTTCTTCTGAATATTGCTTAATGTCTTTTAAAAAGTAATGGAACTCGCCTTCTTCATTATCCACACGCTTGCGATTAAAATAACGGTGTCCATATTTTCCACTGATGATCATATAATCCGGTATATTACCTACTGCCTCAGTAATTCTTGTAACTTGGTTGTATTCCGAACTGCCTGGAAAAATGGGTAGTCCCAAATAGAGTTCTGCCACGATGCATCCAAATGACCACATGTCTATGGCTGTTGTATAGCGAAGACCTAACAGCACTTCTGGTGAACGATAAAACCTGCTTTGGATGTAAGTGTATGTTTGTTGCGACTCATGGCAGGCAGAACCAAAATCAATGACCTTGATAGCGGGGGAGTCCAAATTTTTCAATAAAATATTTTCAGGCTTCAAGTCGCAATGAATGATTTGACTTGCTTTGATTACACTTAGTGTATCAAGTAACTGGATTGAAAACACACGCACAAGATTGGTTGATAGTCCCTTGAAATGATTCTGTTTGATTAGCTCATATAGATTGACCGATAATAATTCAAACACAAGACACAGATGGTTTTTGTTGAAAAAAGATTCCTTCAATCTTAAAATATTATGCTGGTCATCCGGATCGCTCACTGTATTTAGCTAAAAAAAAAAATAACAAAAATGTCAGTTTATATATACTCTGCGATATTTGGACAATATTACATGGGTCAAGATTTCTACTTCGATAAGGCTTTGTTTTGTATATGCTGGTTTATTTTTGATCACTTTTACACCGACCAATTCACCCGTATCAACATTTTTGCATTTTGCAACCTGTCCAAATGTTCCCGACCCCAGTACATCTAATATTTGGTATCTATTACAGTCCTTCAATATACATTATCTTTAGAGTAGAGTTAGTTTGACATACTTTTTTTCTCCATCCTTTCCTAGAAATCCATGAACATAAAGTATATAGTCTGAATTTTCGTTATCGAATCCATCATTTTTTGATGGGGCTGATGGTTTTGTTAATACACGTTTTGGATTAGAAGCAGAATCGTATCTGAAACGAGGATTTCTCTTTTTGAAGGTATCACATATGTCAACTGTCATATTTTGAATCAGCTGAGCGTTATTATCATTAGTTTATATCGTAATGTACGTCTGTATTGTATGCTAACTTTTTTATTTTCAGGATACGAATCTCTTCTGCATGATGGTGGAAACCAGTCTTCGTAGCTAGGTAATATGGTGGTATTTGGCCTATTTATCTGGCTAGATTGGTGATTTATAAAGGACATGTACACAATTTCAATGTAATAAAAGGAAAGAAAAAGCTTAATTCTTTTCTAGATTCCCATGAGATTCATGCAAATCCCGGTGATAATATTCTCCGTGGGCCATATGTTAATTGGACCCTGGGGGGGGGGAGGGGGACAGTCACTTTATAGCCATCAAAGACCTTGATCATCAAAGCTTTCGCAAATGAATAGAAGAAGCGAAATAATTTGTTTCTATCGTACCACATGTGAAAATGCCATTTATGCAGACATGTTCATTTTTATTTATTTAAACACTAAATTTAATGGACAATTAAAACTAATGAATCGGATAATTGTTATTATCAAAAAACATTTTAACCCTCCCGATTAAGTTATCTCTTTATTTTATTATTGCTATCTTGTATGCTATCAACCGCTTCTTTGCCGCTAACTCATTAAACACCTTTGTATTTAGTACTTTTAAGTTGCCCTGTAATAATCATTGTTAGGGGATTGTACTTGCCGATTGAACTTAATGTATGCAGCTGCATTGGTCAAGTAATTATATGAACACTGAATTGCTCGTTATAATTTTGAATAGAAGAGACATATTTTCCAGCATGTTTTATAATATGACTTATTTACATTATAAATAAATTGGCCGTCTTGGGGAAGAGCCACTTTTCATTGGGATAAGTAAGGTGCGCGTAGCTGGATCACGGAATCAGATACCTTGGCCTTGGGTTGTCATTAAACTTTATTGCCTTACATTATATGCGAAGGCAATACATATTTAGAATGTTCTTTTATATTTGTACTCTGGCTAACTTGCAATGTTTTGTTTCGGTGTAACTACGCACACCTAACCGCCTTTTGAGAGGCCTGTAAATAAATTGCCAGACTCAAATGCTTCTTGTTATTAAAAAAAGGCACATTATGTACTATTTGTCTCGGACCCGAATTTGGGAAATACCTGAGCATTTTCCCTGGTATTCGGTAAGTAATGTATACTTTTAACGATAAAATAAAGAAAGTACCTTAAGTGGTTTAACTGAAGCTACGATGCTGCACTGGGAATCTGTACGATGAGGGTCTGTGCGAAATATTTAATATCAACCCCCCGGGGATTTGCATGAATCCCGTTCATTAACGATATTTCACAGAACGCTCCAACCTTTTGTCCTTTCTCTCTCTTTTTTTTTTAATTGTTTGAATTTTTAATAATCCTTAATGCGACCAAGAGTCTTAATCGCACTATTCCTGTTCTTGATCCTGATGGGTATATTAGGATTTGCACCGATTCACCTCCATGAACAAGTGGATGACAAGATTTTACACTTTACAATTTTTTTTATATTGGCGTGTTTCCTTTACTTTATTTGGAATCTCTCGGTTAAACGAAATCTAATCTTGGCGACATGTTTGCTACTAATTTTAGCGATTGGAAGTGAATTCATACAGGGGCTGCTACCAGTATGTATTAGGAATAGAAGAATAGGGGCCGGGGCGAGGGGGGAGGGGAAATGGGAGTTGACAAATATGATTAATCATTTTTACGTGTAGTATCGTAGCTTTGATATTTATGATATTGCTGCTAATTTAATGGGTGGTGTCACAGGAATCATAGCATCATCCACGGTGGACTTTTTAATCGATAGAAAACGTGAAAATAGAAGGAGATTCGGTGGTAAACGAGAAGCAGAATACCAAAGTGCCTTAATGGAAGAAGACGATGATAGCTATAATTTAGGGAATAGAGTTTAAAGGATTTATTTGAAAAAGAGGGGGAGGTTGGGGGGAAAAATAGAATAATAGGGAGTTTTTTTGTAACAAACGAAAAATGGGTTATTTTAAGCTTTTTGGACTGGATATATTTTAAAAGAATACGATGTGAGAAGCAACAATACGTTGTAATTCCTGTTTAATTTTAGTTTAGTATTATTGTAAATATATTGACAAAATTAACTTACTTCATCATCTACTGACTGTTGTGGTTGTAATTGAACTGAAGGTGTGATAGCTACCACGGGAGCTTCATGCTTGGCGCCTAAAATACGCTTGGCCATGGATAAAGGTGACTCTTCTTCAACAGCGGCTTGTTGAGGCAAAGGTGTCAATGGTGGTGAAATAGGCTTTGCCTCTTCGTTCTCTTCATTTGTGTTTATTGAAGGTGTTAATAATAAAGATCTTGCCATGGCCAATGCTGCGCTAGTATTTTCATCATTTTCTTCATTATCATTAGTTGTAGTAGTAGTAGTAGTAGTGGTGGTGGTAGTAGTATTAGTATTATTGTTGGTGTTGTTGGATGTATTAGATGTAGTACTAATAGGTAATGGTGGCATCTCTTTTTTACTTCTTTGGACTTGCTGTCTAACAGCAAATGAACTCTGTGGTCTATTCCATGGATGAAATTCATAACCACCTTCTTCCTCCCATTTTGTGTTCTCTCTAGTGGTTAGGAAATCAACTCCGTGTGCAACCAGCAAAAATAAATCATCTAAATCTTGACCGTTGTTTGAGGGCATAGGATGGAGAGATCTTTCCTCTTTAGTATTGGTAGACGTAATAGATGGTGTATTACATGGTGACGGTGTCGCTGTAATAGTGGTAGTATTTGAAATATTTGATGACTTATTTCTCAATGGGTTTTTAGCTGCTGGAACAGGACTTGTGATAACAGGAGGTAATGCCTTGGTCAGGATGGCCGAATTTAATACCGGTGTTGGAGTAGTTGGCGCAGTTACAATTTCTACTGCTGTAGTAACTGGTTGACTATTCATCCACATGGCATATTGTGCTTGAATATCTTCGGCCGCTGATGTATCAACCTCTGTGACTACTGCTTGCTTCTTGTTTTTAGCAATTTCAATGTCAGAGTCGTCAGATTCCTCTAGAGCGACCCCCTTTTTTGCTGCAACTGCTATTTCTTCTGAGGTAACGGAAGAAGTGGAAGAGGTGCTAGAGGAAGAGGAAACAGATGATACCGTGGATAGTCTCTTGTTGTTGCTGGTTGTAACAACAGAAGCAACGGCCAAGGAAGCAGCAGAGGGATCATTCAGAGTGGTAGTCTCACTTGGTCTACGTGACATTGAAGTAGGCGTGTTCACCTCCATAATCAATTTACTTTCACCGTGTAATTGTTGGCTACCTTGACGAGATTTACTTGTAAAAGAGCGTGGAGTACCAGGTGTTGGAGGCAATGGGGTTGAAGGAGCAGAGACGAAGCTCATATCAGAGGGTGAATCCAATACATTGTTGTAACTATTCATGTTTGTTGTTAACGGAGGTGGAATCATGGTGCTGCTTGGTTTTTTAGTTGTAGATGATGAACCCCAGCCTACAAATCTTTTAAATTGCTGCTTTAAACTTTCCTTTTTCTTTGTTACCTCGGTGGAAGAAGATAGTTGAGTTGATTTAGTCATGATGGATGAAGATGATGTTGGTGTTACTTCAACAATATTATCCATGTTTTCTTCAATGATTGGAAATGATAAAGAAGAGGAAGAAGAAGGTGATTGTCCATTATTATTATTATTTAAAGATGATTTTCGTTCCTGATTATTAGTTGAACTGGATGGTCTCCTGTTATTATTTTCCTCCGCAAAACGTGGTGGGGGTAAAGGATCTAGTAAACTACTCATTACACTTGGACGACGTTCACCCATAAACTTAGGAGTATCCATTAATATATCAAGAATACTTGGCCTTCTATCTTCTGAGACAACACGGTCCTCTTCAACACTTGTTGATAATTGACTTGGTAATGACTTGTTATAATCATTGCCTGCTGAGCCTTTGGGTGGATGTCTCTGCCTCTGGGATTGTTTATTGATAGAACCAGCTTTACGTAATACGAATAATAGGTCACTTGTAACTGTGGTTGTGGTCGAATTAAGTAGTACATTTGACATGAGTTCGTTTGGATTTAATTCGGTTTCTATAATTACATTAATAAATCTAATAATACACACAAACACACACTCTCACACACACACTTTCTCCTATTTTTTTTTTTTTTTTGTTTGGTTTTTTTGTTTTTTTTTCTTACCTTTATTATTACTCCGTAAGGACATTCTGTATTTGCCCAATTGCCTAGAACTATCCCCTCCACAAATGTAGTCATCTGCTTGAGCATCTGGAACGTGAAACTTTTCAAGTGCGAGATTGATCACTACACCAATTTGATAGTCTTTTTTAACAGATATAATTTTATCAATTCGATCAATTTCTGATTTCTGTTGTTGTTGACGTTTTTTAGTTAATTTAAGGTTTGGTGTGGTTGGGTTCTTTGTAAAAGCAGCGTTTGAAACGGGCGCAGCTGTTGTTGTATTAACTATAGCAGATTCATCTGGATAAAGTGATACTTTTATATAGATTAATCCTTCTCTTTCAACTGCTCTTTTGATACGTCGATGCAGATAGATTCTTATCACCGAGTCCTCATCATAGGAAGTTTGCTCATAATTACTGAAACTACTTGATCTTGGTCTACGTGAAGAAGTGGATGACAAGGACTGTTGGGAGATGCGTCGAATGTGTGACAGGGAAGGCATTGGTGTAGTTAAAGAATCTGTCAATGTCTTGAAGATCGAATAAGGTTTATCTTGGGGCGAAAGTACATACTCATCACCATCCATACCCTGTACGGCAAGATAGTATTCTATTGTTGTATCCTCTGATGATTCAATGTTGTCCATCATACAAAATTTATTGACTGCAATCTTGATTAAATCGTCTGCAGCTGTGCTTACAAGAACAGGAAACGTATGAAATAAAGGCCCTTGTCCGATATTTCCTGCAAAAATACGAAGATCCATCTTGTCTTCTTCCATCATCACGGCTTCAAGATCCACTTTTTCTTCTTCGTCCCAGAGCTTCTCTTGCCAAACCTGTTTTTCAGCAACATCGTCATATTTTATCTCCTGGAACTCGCTTTTGACTTGATATATTTGCTCTTCTTCCACTTGTACTTCTTCTTCGTCTTCTTCCTCACTTAAATGGTCCATCTCATAGCCTTCCTCATCGTCATCTTCCAAATCTGTTTCAACCTCGTAGTGAAATATTTGGGACAAGGCCTCGTCGCCAATGGTAACTCTTCGGGTTGAATGTAAAGGGTGTGTTGCTGCTAAAGGTAAAGGTGCAATATCATGTATGGAAGGTGAAGTTATTTCTACATTGCGATGCTTGTTTAATCTTGCCAGTCTTTCGTAAGGTGTCTAAAATAAACAATCAGGACGCGCTCTTTTTAGGTTGGGTTCAGGTAGCAAACATAATATTTTACCTCAATGTTTTCAGCCGGAATGTAACCGACTTCACGTGTCTTTAGTACTTCAACTAACCACCAGTAAATATTTGTGTCTTCCATCAATATCAATGCGTCGCCTTTTACTACGGACGCTTGACCTTCAACGGTTGCAACAAAGGTATGAAGCGCGTATACCAAATCAAAATTGATGTTTTCATCAGGTATACTAGGTGAAGAAGACATGGATGAAGCATCTTCTATCATTAATTCATCATCATCATCGTCGTCGTCGTCGTCGTCGTCCTCATCATCATCGTGGTTATAATCATTACGTTGTTGGTGTTCTGACTGCCACATAAGCTGTTCTTCCTCATCAATTTCTTCGAGTTTTTCTGAACCAGAAGTAGCATAATATTTAGTTGTTGCCATGTTTAAAGGGGAATCTTTTAAGGGGGGCTTTTTTTATGTATATATATAAAAACAAGGGGACTCTCTATTATTATTTTTCGTTATAAGAAAAGAAAGAGGAAAGAAGAAGGAATATAATTTCGTATCTGCCTTTTCTTTGTTCTACTACCCCTATATAATTATTAAGGGCTTATAATTACACTACTTCAACCTTGTACTCCCCTTGTTATTATTATTATGACATCAACTGCTCTCACAAACACACACACACACACACACACAAATCCATTCTTTGCATTATGTAAAGTTTCTTTTGAAATTTTTTTTTTTTTTATTTAGTTTGAGAAGTGGTTCCATAGGATCGGCTTAATAAATTCTTTGAAAGACGTCTTTCAGGGTGATGATAATATGTACCGGTATTATCTTCTTCTTCTTCTTCATCAGTCTGACCTCCTTCTTCAATTTCTCTTTCGAGACTTCTAGATAGAGGTATACTGCTACTGATCGGAAGATCATTGTTTGTACGACTGGTTATAATAGTCTGCAAAAGGGGTCGATTCTCATCTCCTAATCATTTGCCGTTAGTCTTTACTTTCATGTTACAAATAAATTTCATTTTTACCTAAATCATTGTTCTTTTTGGATGAAGTGGATGATGATGACGAGAAGGCTGACCTGGGCATAACAATACCTCTGTCTTCATACCCAACTTTAACGGGTAACCAAATCTGTGGCAAGACACCTAATAAGGCTGGATGACCATATTGTTTCATGCCAGTATTCAAAATTCCTTCTAATAATGTCATTGGTGGTTCCCTATAATCCGTGAATTTTCTGGGATCTGCAACATAATCATCTTCATCCAAGACAGTGCGACGCTTTCTATTTTTCAATCTGGCTACCTGCGATGTTGAAACATGCGCTAAAAGTGCTGGTTTGGATGTGCTAGACTCTCCATTTTTTTTGGTGCTTTCAGTGGCTAGAGGGTGAATGGAAGAGGATTCGTCCGAGATATTACTTGTACCCATATCTCTCTTTTGAGGTTGAGCAATGGTTGTCATAGGTCCAAGTTTTTCGGATAATAGCTGCAGGGGTAAAAATTGCGTACTCCTTTGATACGCTTTATCCATCACAATCTTGTACGCCACTGTAAGGAATATCAATGGAACACAAAGGGCAGCTAAAGGATAGGACTTGTTCAATGTAAATAACCCTGCCGATGTCAACTCGAATATCACTAATCCAATAATGATGCGCGAAAACACCAAGGGCCACATTCTGCCCGCTACTTCATATGAATGGAAATAAACTATAAATTAAGAATGTTAATATGTAAACTCTAATATAAACATTTTGCCTCTAATGCATCTTTTTCTTTTTGAGACTTACCGTATAATAATTGATATTTACACACTAGATAACTCATTGCGAAATAAATAACTCCAAATACCAAAATTAAGGGTGATATAGTCGAATAGACCAGAATGACCACAAACATAAAGACTGGAACTGGGTATCCCCATCCAAAGTTATACATGCGAGGTGCAAAGACTTCGGCATAATCACGAGGTGTCTTACATAAGAATGTTTTGTAAAATTGCTGGACGAGAATAGGCCCGATTTGAAGTAATTGTATAGGGCAACTTTAATTATTAAAATGTTAATAGTTTTTCTTAAAAGATATTTAATATAACTTACAGCATGATGCCTTGGAGCACAGTATAATTAATATAAAACGGTGCTACTTCCGGCAACTTGGAAGCAAAGATGTTTGCAATCTTTGTTGGATCCTCAAAAATGTCACTCTTGGATTTGAACAAGGTGCTTGCCACCGTAATGAATAATAAAACGTTGGCGAACAAAAAGAAAAATTGCCTAATATATGCCGTTAGTTTTTTTTTTTTTTTTTTTTTTTTTTTTTGTATATGCCATTTTACTTTGCAAAACAAGATTCTTCTGATTCACTTCTTGTTGTAAAGCCTTCAATCACACTAAGACCTACATATATCACCATTGTCAGTATAGAGATAATCAGATGATTCCTTGTATGAGCTTACTATTAAATACTATAGGCAAAACAGAAAAGAAAATAACAACACCTAGTGTAGGTATAAAACCTGCCACAATTTGGTTCAATAACTTGTTCTTCTCTGCCAATTTCAATAACCAAGGAAAATAAGCCTTCAATGATTTGGGAGAGGTCAAAGCGGAAAGATAATTACAAGGAATTGTCCAAGAGAATACCAAAAATAGAAGTATTAACATGATTAAAGCTTTTCTGATGACTCGTTCTCTTCCGTGCATCGATATGTTCTCCCATAATACATCTCTAGGTTCAGGAGCTAATTGTGCTCTTAATCTAAATGGGGTTGAATCGATCAAGACTTGAGAAGCTACATACTGCATAACAAAAAGATGAATAACGTTTCAACTTCATATATGATTTTCCTTACGGCACTAATTGTTTCTTCAAAGGTAACAAATCCAACACTGGTCGGTAAGAATTTTCCTACTTTACGTGCTTTTACCACCAATTCGTCAATTTCGTCAAATTTCTCCGTATAATAATCAATCGAGTCTATTTTGGGACCGCATAATAAGCCCTGTCGAAATGTTGGTCTTTCTTTCGACTTTAAGTGTGATGGTAATGCGCTGGTATTATCTACTTCATGCAAGGTTCTTTCACGTTCATCCTCTTCCGCTAAAATATCGTCAGGATCGTAACCTTTTAGTTCACAAGGATTTCCTAAAAAGTTTGTGTAGGCTGTTTCCAATTGCCGAAGATGTTGAGATCTTTCTTTTATAAATTCTAATAATCTTCCCACATGTCTAATCGTATGAACAGACTCCACTACACCAATACCTAATTTCTCAAAATAATCCGCTAATTTGCGGTCAGAACGAAGGTACGGGGGTATTCCTGTGATTAGCAAAGTACGTGCGGACAAAGTCTTGCTCTTTCTCAACAAAAATTCTCTTCTGATACGGACATAATCCCGATAATTCAAGAAAGTAAAGTAAAAAGTTGCAAACACGAACAAGTAAGTGAAGAATAGATAAACCCACAGAAAGGACACAGAGTGCGATGTAAAGCTGTTTCCAACTCTGTTGGTTGGCTTACTATTTCCAAAAAAGAATAGCTCATGATGAGTATATGAGTAGGCTGTACCGTTATTTGTTCCGTTGCCTGGCTCCGGATATGTTCCGTTTGCGATATCACCGCCCATTTTACTGATTGGGTATAATACTACCGTACCAAAGAATCCACAGAAACTAAACAACTTGACACTCATCAACAAAAATTGCAGCATCTAAATCATTACTTTTCGCATGAGTTGCATGCATACTATATCAATTAATTATGCATAAGTTACCACAACAGCATCTAATCCAACTTTGTCTAAAATTACAGAATTGGGTGTTTTTAATAAGGGTATAATCCAACCAAACATGGTGGCAGGTAGCTGCTCCGGGGCATGCCTAAATTTTAAGGAGTTAGCGTCACCCGTGTTTTTACAACATACACAAATACAACTGTTTACTTTAACATTCGAAGTCTTGGCGAATAAATAGCACTCCATCTACATGAGAGCATTAATAATGGATCGAGACGTTGCATTTTTATTCCACATACCTCACTCGTAGAACACAGAACAGTAAGAAGCATAATGTTCCAACTGTAGTACATAAGACGAGTTGCGTCTGGAAACCAGTGGGTGACTTGGCGTTTTGAGCTGGAGATCCTGGTAACGGTTCTTCGTCTTCACATAGGAAGCGAAATATACCAATACAAGGAAAGCCCGATATAACAGAAGAATTGTTACTCGGCATTACTTGTTTGGCAATGGAATGTGAAAATACGTAAATAATATAAGGAAAAAGAAGATTCTCTCTTTTTTTTTTTTTTTTTTTTCTTTGCTTGTTTGTTAAAAGAAGCTTACTGGGTTTTAATATATATCGTATCACTCACTCTCTTGAAACTCTCATTACGCACTTGTCATACACACAAAAGTCTTGACGAACCTTCTCTTTTTGAAAACAAAAGTGTTTCATTCTTTGCATGTTTGAACAACAACCAAACAGGTTTACCACCGTCTTATTGATATTGGATGGTCTACCGAATGCCAAATCCTGTATTAGATTTGATCCAGAAACAGAATATTGTGAAACCTTAAAATTCGATTATTAAAACTTGGTTTCAATCATTCTGTCTTTATGAGCATTTTACTTTCTTGTAGAATCTGATATTTGCACACTCCAATTCGGCATTTAAATATACGCATATCATGCAGTTTGTTTGATAAAACGCAGGCGGTATTTATAAAAAAATAAAAATAAAAAAAAAATAGGGTTCTATTATTTGGCAGGACATTTGTACCATGAAAAAGTCAAATAAACAAATTGGTTTTTATCGCTTGTTGTGTGACGTTTACCGTTTTCTGTTTGCTCAACCCAAACGTCGTTGGCCCTTAACGCGATCCCGTGTTCCGAAATTCTAGCTCAGCGTCTGCGGCCAATGGTTACTTTAAACTCGGGCAAATGATAATTTAGTATTAATATTTTGACGTATTCAAGGGTAAAAAACAATTGGACAGAACGATAAGGCTTACAAGACATCTATTCCAGTTGCCAAGTTACCCAAGAAAAACGAGGAGATATGTCGATGTAGCCTATATATCTTTGATCAGAATTTTTCAGTTGGGACGGAGGCTTACATTTCCATAATATTATCTACTTGAGATGAAAGTTACAAATAACATGTATGATATTGTGTATGTATATAATATGTATTCTAATTTTATTTTTTATTTATGATACAAAAAAAGAGAAAGGAAGTAGGTTTCTCTTATGTTCTAGGTATGAATGATGCTTTTTTTTTCTCTATACAAATCCTGCAGGCGGCCATTCACCCTTTTCCCTTAATCCAGCTTGAAATTGTAACACTTGTTCATAGATGACAAACATGATGGCACTTTGAAGACTGGTCCAAAATACTCTGGGACCGATACCTCGAAATAATCCTGCCATGCCTTGATTTCGATAATTCCACATCATGCCATCCATAATACCACTGTAATGTTTCACAGGTGCTTCAAATCCAGGTGTACCAGTGACCGCCACAGCCTTGTTTTTTACTGTCTGTTGTGTTTGTAATAAAGTCTTCATCACATCGAGTGGTGTAGTAACTGCACCTGCAATGGCACCAGCTAATGAACCTGTAACCACATCGATACCAATCGGGATATTCTCTCCCTTGAATCTATTTTGCGCAATTTTTTTAAATTGTTCTATATGGGGAAACACGTTAGACAAGAATAGCTTTTTTTTTGTAAGAGAAATAATTTTTTTTTTTTACCATAACAAGCAAATTGAATGGCTGAATAAGGCACATCTCGTAAAATTGTTGCTCTAAAACCATGAAATAATGCACCATAACCATCGTATTTGACAATCTAGGTAAAATGTTGTTAGGGGATTGGAGGAGTTGTGAGAGGTTGGGATTTACCATTTTTGTTGCCTGCCATGTGTTTCTATAGTTGTATCCACTAGCGAAGTGTGGATTATTGTATCTACCTTGTAGTTGAAGTCTAGTCTTTAGGACTTCAGATGGGACATAAATGAAGGAAGCTGCTAAATCACCTAAAGAACCAGCTGTCAAATGAGATACAACTTCCGGTACATTTGATTCTGTCAAGGTTCTTTTCGTCAATTCATATACCGCGAAATAAAGAGTTGTACCAGGGACTATAAGATTATTGTTTAGCACGCAAAAAAAAAAAGGCAATTATTTTTGTTGTTTTGTTTACTTGATCCAATCATGGCCGGGGACACACCAGCATATAATCCCCTCACGGCACCCTCTTGTTTAAATATTAATTTATAAGCTTGTACCATACTCGTATATTTCTCGATTCGACTGTGTGGTTGACCTTGTAATCGTGTTTTCACTGTATCCACACTAATAAAAAATTAATATGCAAAAAAAAAAAAAAAAAAAAAAAAAAAAAAAAAAAAGTTGACAGGTACAATTTTTTTTTATTCTATTTTTTTACCTGTGCATCATAAAATCGGCTGCTGATCCACCAATGCCACCTGCTATGCAAGCCTATTCTATCGATTAAATACAAGATATTTGGCAGCTAAGAAAATAAAAAAAACTCACGTCAAAGAAAGGAGGGTATTTAGTGCCACCTTCCATTGTAATGGAAGGTATAGCAAACGGAAACTTCAATTGGTTGTTGAATTGACCGAGCTCAGGAGGTTGGTTCATGGACTAATTAATGTGGGGTAAGAAAAAAGAAGGAAAAAAAAAAAAAAACTGAGAAAGGAACAAGCTGTAAAGAAAAAAAGAGGTGGGCAGGGATAGTGACTGCTACCCTTGTGCGTCATTTTTTTTTTTTTTTTCACCAAGAAAAAATTGCCCTTCTCTTTACTTGAACCCTTAAAAGATGTCAGCCGCAGTCGCCAATGACGTTCCTATAAAGGTGGAACCCACAGTCCAAAAAACTCACCAAAAGCAAAGAAAAAGAAATAAGAAGAAGTCCAAGAAGCAACGTCAACTCGAAGAAGAAGCTAAACGTAAAGTTGTAAGTAGAAGTTTTTCCATTTGTCGCGTTTTCCTTTCTAATTACTTTAGAGTAGAAAATAGAAGAAAATGATGAACCACTCGATGATGTTGAAATCGAATACGTTGTTCAACCTGTCGATGTTTCAGCTTTAAAAAATATGGACGGCATGTCAAATCTGGATGAAAACACTCTTCAACAATTCTCAGACATCTTTAAACATTTCCAAACTGGTAAACCTGAGCAAGATGACGAAGTAAGTGGAACCGCATTCCTCTAGATCTTTATTTACCTTAAACTCATTTTCTTCCCTTTGTTTAGGAATTTCCCGTTCTCGACAATACCGAAGAACAACCCCAAGATAAAGAAGGTGAATCCGACGAAGAGCACGAATCAGATCAACCTTTATCAAAGAAAAAAATGAAGAAGGTTCAACGTTTAACTGTAGCTGAATTAAAACAACTTGTAAAGAAGCCTGAAGCAGTTGAGGTAACAAAAGAAGAAACTATATATATATATTATGCATGTAAATTCATAACCTACGTATTTTTAGTGGTGGGATGTCACAGCTACAGATCCAAGATTATTAGTAGCATTAAAGTCATATCGTAATACAGTTCCTGTCCCTGCTCACTGGAGTCAAAAGCGTAAATATCTTCAAGGCAAGCGTGGTATCGAAAAGCCACCATGGGAATTACCTGGTAAAACAACAAGAGAGAAACGATTTAACGAATAGATGACTAAACATAAAGAATTCATTAGATTTCATCAAGGACACAGGTATTATGGAAATGCGTGACGCAGTGAAAGAAAAAGAAAGTGCGGCAGGTTTAAAGAGTAAAATGAAGGAGAAGGTGGCGCCCAAGATGGGTAAATTAGACATTGATTATCAAAAATTACACGATGCATTTTTCAGATTCCAAACAAGATCAAAATACACAATGCACGGTGAACTTTATTACGAAGGAAAAGAGTTTGAGACCAAATTAAAGGAACAAAAACCAGGTCAATTATCAGAAGAATTGAAAGAAGCTCTGAATATGCCTCCATTGGCTCCCCCTCCTTGGTTAATTAATATGCAACGTTACGGTCCTCCTCCTAGTTATCCTAGTCTCAAAATTGCTGGTTTAAATGCACCGATACCCGAAGGTGCTCAGTGGGGTTATCATCCTGGTGGATGGGGTAGACCTCCTGTTGATGAATTCAATCGTCCTCTTTATGGTGACGTATTCGGTGTCACTCAACCTAACGCAGCACCACCAGAGATTGTTGAACCTGTAGATAAAAAGATTTGGGGTGAACTTGAATCTGAAGATGAATACGAGGAAGAAGAAGAGGAAGAAGAAGAGGAAAGCGAAGCTGAAGAGGAGGAAGAGACCGCTGAAGTTGAAAGCACTGATCTTGCTGATGGTTTAGTCACTCCATCCGGTATGTCTTCTATCGCTTCTGGCTTAGAGACTCCAGATCACATTGAACTTCGTAAAGATCGTGTTAGAGATGAAGATGAGGGACCAAAACAACTTTATCAAGTATTACCAGAGGTTCAGAAAAATATTTCTGGTTTCATGGGTTCTCAGCATGGATACGATCTTACAACCGTCGATAAACCTATTGCCAATGTGCCACCAGGAAGATCTCAATCATCAAAACGTAAAGTTGGTGAAAATGTGGATGTCACAATCGATCCTAGTGAACTTGAAAGTGGATTGGATGAAGCTACTTTACGTGCTAAATATGACGCTCAAATGAAGGCTAAAAAGCCTGTCGGCGTCGAAGAGGATTTATCAGACATGTACGCTGAGCATGCTAGTAGACAAGCAAAGAAAGCAAAGACACAGGATAGTAGAAAGGAAGGAAAGAAGAAGGAATTCAAGTTTTAAAAAAAAGAAATATACACATCCTTTCTTTTTTTTTTTTTTTGGTAATAAAGCATGCACGTTTATTTTTTTTTATTTTCATAACACAACAAAACTAGATGTAATGAAAAAGCCGAATACGAATAAGCAAATAATCACCTATACAAATATAAATTATGAGTATAATATCCCATCATATCACCAATCGCATCTTTCATACCATGGCTTTAAATGTTAAAGGTTCAACAAATCCATTCATCATTTCACCTAGTACTTGCGTTGCAATTTGTGTTTTTCCGATATATCGAGGCTGTAAATTCCTACACGTAAAAATTCCAAAAAAAAAACAGTGGTTAAGGATTTTACAATCTATTTCTTGCTTCCAAATTAATAAATCAAAAAGGATATCTATCCCATTCATCACAGAATGTCTGCCAATAAACGCCTTTTAAGCTTGGTCCACAATTGTTGTTTACATAGTCGTAATGACAGGCTTGGATTTTGTCTTCGAATTCTAGAAGGAAAAACTCCGTTTAGACTTGGGTTTAGCCCATACAAAGTCTCTTCTATACCTTTAATCTCTATTTGATGCCGCGAATGAATTTCCGTTGCACATGATTGTATCATTTGATAACAAATAGTAAGCAGTATTAAAACACCAATAGTATGTAGAGCTAGTTTAATATAACTATGGTACATGTCAACATGAATGGTTGCTTGATCTCTGAAATGGTCTGTTCTTCTTACCTTGAAAGTATAAACGGTGCATCGGAATGTGTCAGGAACTGTGTGTAATGACGCAACCAATTCAAAAGATTGATTCCTCTGTTTTCTGCATTCTCATTGATCCTTCGTTTCTTAGTGGGACGTTCAGTATCCGACATGGTTCAAAGACATAAAAAAGGACCGGCTGAGGATAATGGAGATATCCAAATGAAGGATGTTACACAGTCTTTAATGCCAATAATATAGCTAGTTATCTTACTGGCATTTCTTATGCTCTTGTTTTTTTTAGCTAAGTCTCTGTGACAATGCATGCACCATTAAGTTACCAATCAATGTCGATATCAAACGGCAAATCATTTAATTTAGCTTACAGCAGCCATAGGGTAAAATAAAATTAGAATACACGTTACATACATACATACACATACACATCTTTTTATTTATTTGTCTATCTAATCTAATCTTGTAAATTGGGCAAAGCAGTAAGCAAACTTTTCACAATACGTCTTCCTGCATGAAGATTCAAAAGTCGAATACGCTCGTTGTGCAAATGCGCCTGATCCGAAGACTGTCCGAATGGGATATGGATAGCAGGTGCATTACAGAATTTTTCAAGCCAACGCACGGCAGGAATCGATCCACCTTCTCGAATATACAATGGCTTCATATTCCATTCATCTGCTATAGCATTTTCAACCGCCTTAAAGTATTTGCTCTTCAAATCTCCTAGCCAATATTCGGCTGCACTCTCAATGGTAATTGAGATTCGATTATCCGAGTTACATTGAGCAAACACATTTTTGACATATTGCTCAAACTGGGCACAAATATCTGTGATAGTCTGGTCAGGGACAACACGCATACTCACGGCTGCCTTTGCGTTACGTGGAATAATGGTGGGGTTGTTGATAGATACATCAATCTTGTGTACTGTCAAGGTAGGATATCTCCATCGTGCCATCAATTGCTGCTTTAACTTGTCTGCATCCAGCATTTCATTGTCTGAGGCCAATATCTTGCACTGGGTTTCGTTACCACAATCAGGTGAGCATGTATTGGGTGAGGCAATGGTTGAGTGATGGGCTCGTGTACTGGACCGTGCTGTTTCCGATGTTTGCATCCATTCAACAATAGGATCATACAATTTCTCTTCAGCTTCCGTTATAGGGCTTACGTTATCATAAAAACCTGATGGGAGCAATTACTTTGTAAATACCATAGAAATATGCATACAACATATTTATATTACCTGGAATGAGAACTTTCTTGTTATTGTCTACTAGTTTTCCTAATACGTGGATCAGGTCTATCAAGGGTTCAGAAACAGCCCCTCCCTCTACACCAGAATGAAGATCGGCACGCTTATTACTAATGGATACTGTTGCGTGAATAACACCTCTTAGGCCATATGTAATACAAGGTACATCTTCGCCAAGCCAATAAGAATTACTATACACACACATATATATACATGAGTGGACATAACAAAAGTATAACCTATAATCAGCTTACCTTAATAAAACCATATCCACATCCTGAAAGAGTTCCTTGTTTTGGTTTACTGCTTCATAAAATCCAACACTGCCACTTTCCTCTTCACCTTCAATTAAAAAGATGACATTGACATCCAAAAGACCTTCCTTTAACAACTCGTTCACAGCAAAAATCGATGCAAGGATTGGCCCCTACAATATATAAGTTATGATTTGTTTTAAATAAAAGAAAAGAAAAAATAGATGCTGGGATATTTTACCTTGTTATCACTTGTACCGCGACCATACAGATAACCATTTTTACCTGTCATGTTGAATGGATCTGTACCCCACAAATTATTTTCATTTTCCGCTGCAATTACATCATAATGGCCATAGATCAGGACAGTGGGGACAGATTTATCATTGGATCGATGTTTACCAATAAATTTACCATACACCAGAGGATTACGTCCACAAGCACCAGGAATCTATCCCCAATGATGTTTTAATTTTCTGTGTCCTTTTTTGTTTTTTTTTCTTGTTTACCATCTTACCATACGACTGACCGCACCTAATTGTTGAAGAATATTCTTGAGGAAACGTGCACCCCTTCTACACTCTTCCATATATTTAGGGTTTCCACTGACTGTACGCATAGCGATCCATTTCTCCAGAACATACAACATGGTATCTATAATAAAAATGCATCAGTACAATTCTATAATGTATCGATGTTATTTAATTTATTTTTACCGTTGGATGAGGGAGCATCTTGTAATCCAGCACTTGGTCTTCTGAAGGGCTCAAAAGATGTGTTTGTGAAACAGGGCAAATCCCAAAATTTGATTGAATGATCATTACTGCCCGAGATCAAATAATTTCCAGACGTCGTCAAGGACAAGACAATGCCTTCATGGTCACATAAACTTTCTCTAAATTGAAATCCTTCACTCCAGATCTTGATGGATCCATCAGCCGAAGCACTCACAAATCCAGGACCTTTAATAGATACGGCCAATACATCATCCGTATGAGCCATGACAGATCGAATCATTTGATGCGTCTCTAAATCCCAAATTTGAACATCGCCACCTTGAACACCACAGAACAGATAACCATCCTCTGATAATGCTAGACATAACACTCCCTTGTCTGGGTTACCCTTTAATATGTGAACTAATTTGATGCCGTCCGGTTGGATAGCCCAAATTTTGACATCGCCATCACCGGAACCACTGATAAGGACTTCACCTTCCATGTTGGGAATATCCTTTGCATGCAATAAACAATACAAATAACCGTCATGTGCATTACTGCATACGTTTTTTTCACGGATAACACATTTAATGACATCTCTGTCTAATTCGGCCTGTAATCGATCCTCCTCGTCATGACCTTCCCCATCCTCGAAGAAATTGATGGTTCCAACTTTACGAGGTGAATTGGGAACGATTGAAATATCTGTATTGGAGCCGTGTGTTTGTGGATCGGCGAAATCGTACCATTGAATGCTGGTGTTTTGGCTACCGAAATAGATTTTGTTGGTGGTGTCAGAATAGACAACAGAAAAGATGTCACCGACGTCGTGACATGATTGGATGAGATAAGCGCATTTTAATGTTTCTGTGTTCCAAACTCTGACAGTACCATCACCTTTGTATAAAAATAGTATTAGCATAGATATTTAGAACAGTGTAAAAAAAAATCACACACACACACACACACACACACATACCAGAACTACTGAATAAATATTGTTCGTCTTCGGATAAATTTAAACCTAAAACACTACCACGATGACCTTTTAAAATAGTGACCAAAGTAAAAGTTAAAAGATCCCAAACCTTTTTTTAAATACAAAATGGTTAATTGAGGTTGTTGTTTTAACTTGAAGCAATGGGGTGTGTGTGTCTTACGTGGATCTGAGAACTTTGACTTCCACTGAACAAATAGCGTTTACTGGCTACAAGGGATAAGACAGAGTTTCTGTCTTCTTGTGAAATTGTGTGAATGCATCGTGTTGGGTGAAGTGGTCTCGAGTTGGTTAATTGTGATAAACTGCCTAATTTTTCAATGGTCAAATCTCGCTAGCTTTCTTATCGTCTCTCTTTCTCCGTTTCTTACCCAAAGGTGTTGGACTTTCAGTTCTTAAAAAAGGTGAATTCATGAATTTAGAAATAAAAAAAAAAGAAAGACAACAAAAATTAATTATTTTTTTTAAAAAAAAAATTAAGGTTTTATTCTGCCAATGAATATCTTCATGCTTTATATGACAACTGAGTCACTACTGATGCATCAAATGTAAAAAAAAAAAAAAAAAAAAAAAAAAAAAAAAAAAAAAGGCGAGATGCTAGCCATTTTTCTTTTTTATAGGGTGACAAGTTGATCAATTACGGTTTCTGGCACCTCTTCCCATTAGCCTTTACAAATAATCGTAAAGTGGAATTATTATCAGCATTGATTTAAACAATATATATACCGTAATCTTTTACGTGTTTAATTTACAGGCTTTACACTATCCGAAAAGTGGGTTCATCCGTTAGTTTCCTGATGTATGTCTAAATATTTATTGCTATAAAAAGCTACGAGAACATCTTCGTCTGACGACACAGTTTCTCCCTAATGGACTTTGACCAAATAAGGCATTGTTGGATCAGGTCAATCGCAAAATGGATGCTATCGAGTAGCTGAGTGCAGTTTCTCGTACAAGCAACGAAACATTATGACTTGGATGAACAAAAAGAAATCAAAAGGAATTGTAAAATCGTAACAAGGAACAAGGTTCTCCTCTATAGATTCACTTTCCATTGAGTTCTGCAAATTTTTTCTTCTTCGTTTTAAAAATAAAAGCATTGAGTTTCAAAGTGAGAAAAGGTTCTTTTATTTTTAAAAAAAAAAGAAGGGAATATCAAGCGTGCATTATTATAAAAAAAAAGTCGTTTTTTTATTCTTTTTTATTCTATCATTCCTAGGCCGTTGGGCCTTCGCTATCATTCCTAGGCCGTTGGGCCTTCGGCTTGCCCATGCCCCTATGCGGCTATGAGCTCACTTAATCAGTGCCGCAGCTGGAAACGGCGCTGACAAGCTTACTTTACCTAAATATTTTTTTTTCTTAATACGACAGCAAAAATTATACAGAGCTCAACTTGTGGTTACAAAAATAAAAACTTTTTCTCCGTCTACTTTTTTTTTTTTTTTTTTTTTTTTGCTCTTTTCTTATTAAAGTTTGAACAAAACATATAATAAAAGATCATAATACTCAGAAAGATTGTTTACAGCTGATATTTGTATAAGATTTGTATCTTTTTTTGCTCAAGAAGCTACAATGTACAGTGCCTGAACAAAAAAAGAGAGAGCATGAAAACGGACCTATAAAAGCGGAGATAGATTTTTTTTTTTTTTTGAAAAGCAGCTTTTCTTTCGTGTGCTTTAAAATGTCATTCTTCATACAAACAGTAGCGCGTAATGTCCAAGAAAGGTCAAGCAACACAGCTCTAGACTTTATACAACACACAACTATAAACTATTTGTGTCCACTTTATGCAAACTATATTCAACTCAAGAAAAGCCATTATAGCTTTTATTGACGCATTCTTTTTAGCCCAAGACAGTGAGTGCTTTAGCCTACCTGCTTGTAACTTGGACTTTTGACGACCTGAAAAGTAAAGGTTAAAATTGTTTTGCTAACAATTCCTTTTTTCTTTAAAGAGCGATTCTTCCAAGTCAGAACTTTTTCATGATTACCGTAACAATTTTAAAGGTGGATGCTTCTTTCAAAGAACCACTGTACAAAAAAAAAAGGATCTGCAGCAAGACAACCATTCCTTGTAACAGTATTGCCATCTTCACTTGGGTCCATATACTGCATAAAGCGTGTACAGTAATGGCCAAGGGGCGCCCTTTAAAGATGATATCGTACTAACTTTGTTGAGGGTATCATACCCAAGGAGTGTTTGAGAGAATTGCTGAAGACTCATCGACAAATTGAAGCTTGAGTAATTTTCGCATAAAAAAAAGTGAAGGTGAAGTTTCTCTTATAAAAAGTAGCGTGTGCGCTGAGGATATCATTATAAATTGATACCATCGCAAGCTTTGTGTATTCCATCGTATAAAGATATGCACTTTCTTGATGGTGTGCTTCTTTTGAATGTGAGGGATGAGGCTATCAAATTATATGAATTGTAGGGTATACTACACTGTAAAAAAAATGCACTGGACCTTTTTTTTTTTTACGGGGAGAAATATCAGTAAAATATAAAAGAGTGCTGTTGCTTAGATCGAATAAATATAATCATCTACGATATAAACCAGCGCACAATAAAGAGATGAATGAAACCCAAATATGTGCCTGATTAGAAATATAAGCACTTTTTTAAAAATAGACTTGAGAATCTTTTTGTAGTGATGGAGTTTACAGAAAAAAAATTCAAATGATGAATGGTCTTCCAACCCGAAGAAGCCTACTATTCAAGTTACCATACCAACCGCTGATAGATCCTACTATAAAACCTAATTGTCTGTTCTGATATCACAAACTGTAGAAGCACGGACGTTGAAATGTGACTCTGGTTTTGGGTTTCCGGGTGTAGGAAAAAATTAAACCAGGCCATGGTCCTCACTCTCTCTTTTTTTTTTTCTCTCTCTTAATTATTATTGGAATCATTTTAAAGATGGCATTGAGAGCAACCTTGTTAAACCTTTCCAACCGATTCACAACACCTGGTGCACCCATGCAATGGATGCGTCAAATATCTACCAGCAATGTGATGAGACAAATTGAAGGCGGCATGAAAGAGGAAAGCACCCCTGCTATGCCTGGTGTATTGGCTGCCGAACTTCGTGCTCCCAACGAACTCTCCACTTCACTTGACCCTTACAGCGGTAGATCGATTGGTTCCGTTTCCAACCCCAACACTGCTTACAGACGTTTAAACTCCATCTTGACCCAAAACAATGTTCGTAGAGAGTTACGCGCCAACAGATACTATGAAAAGCCCAACGTCACAAGGAGAAGAAAGAATATTGAACGTAACCGTAAATTATTCGGTGCCATGATTGGAAAGAAGGTTGCACTTATCATGCAAATGAAGCAGAGGTATTTGAACATTTATTATATCAGTAGTTGGAAATTATTAACCTTTTTTTTTTTTTTTTGTGTGTGATAAAACAGAGGCATGTAGACAGCTGTACACTTGTATATAAACTTAATAAAATTAGATATTTTTCTAGAAAAAGCAAGTTCTATACATTAGCAATTTTTATTTTTTATTATTATTATTATAAATATATATATATGTGAATATAGAGTTTTCTTTTTTTTTTTTAGTAGCCCAATTCTAGGTTGACAGGAGCATGAATATCCGCCATACGACACAATTCACGGGCAATGAAATGCCAGGCATCCATTTCTATACCAACACGACGACCATATTCCCATAACTTTTGACGCTTGTATTGGTAGGTCTCCTCATCAATCCCCCTCAATATTTCATCCAGTCGATGGACTTCATCACGACGCACTCGAACAATAAACGAATCCCAGTCCACATCAAATTCAAAGGGTTCAATGATACCATCCGCAATGACTACAGGGACGACACCAAAGGCCATAAATTCCCAAATTCGAGTTGTATCCAAGGTCCATCCCATCGGACTAAGACCGTATTTCGAGCGAGATAGCTTTTCAATGTATTCATGATCCGAAATGACATTTCCGATTTCATAGCCAGAATAATGAGAGAAATATTGAAAGAACAAGGAACGAATACCATTGGAATATTCAGCTTCGGGTTTGACGTCGGGACAACACCCTTGGAAGAGAACAAAAATATCTCGTTTACCTTTTTTGGGTTGACCATTGTGTGGATGCAGGTAATCAAGAGGATTAGCTCGAAGATGATGAATCATGCGTGTTGTTGAGGGAATGACAATGTCTCTGTGATATCTATGACGGTGCATCCATTTCTCTCGTTTGTCTCCTACGGTCTTTAAGAATATGGCGGGCTGAAACAGTTCGTTGTTTTGGTAATAGGTAAATGTTTGATCCATCGGATGAATCATGATGTGATCTTTACCTCCCTTTCTTTTCCAATAAGGGAACTCGTTCATGACCATGTCCATCATGGGAGCAACATATTTGGTATCGACCTCACAACGCTCGTCCCATTTCCAACCACTTTCGGCCCAACAGTTGTAAAGATAACAAGCACCGAAAAATGGGATAAAAAAGAAATCGGCCTCCTCTGGGTTTTCAGTAACATAATGTTTATATATAGGACTTGAAGGATCGGTCAATTGGTTGTGCAAGATAATCTCGGAATTGTAGTTGGACTCGTGGCATCTACCTTGTTGAATACTGGTGGGTACTTGAAAGGTGCTGGGTGGTTTATATACATAGATTTTAGGTCGACATATGGCCTGCTCTATAGGTGTAGGCCAATACAATCGGGAATCGATAAACGGAAGTGGTGGTGCCGGTGATGCTGCCTTTCTAAACAGTCCGAATATTCCGCAGGTCAAGATAAATACTAATAAACTCCCTATTAAAAGTATCCATCTCTTATTAAACCTTAAGACTGTCGCCATGCCTTTGTGAAAAAAAAAAAGTTTTTTTTTTAAAAAAGAAGGAAAAAAAACATTTAAATAGTATCCTATACACACATAACCTTGTACTTTATTTTTTTTAAAACCCAATTCTCACCTCGGTGATTGATGGGTTGTACTTTATTTGTACACAATCTTCTCTTTACCCAAAAAAATACCTTCATCATTGCCTTTGATTACCCATTATGCGATATTGTGTCTCATTATCTGTGCAATAATCCCTCCCTCTATCCAAAATAACTTTTTTTTGATAAACAATGATCAACTGGAAAAAAAAACACTCCCTACTCAACCGCAATGGATCTAAATAACGAACATTTGAACCTCCTCTTATCTCCTCTAGCAAGACTAAACCACCGCTGTCTTAAAAATGCTTGATGCACTCTCTCATCTTCTTTTGAAAAAGAATTTAGACTTTCTGTATCAACATTTGTACAAGTATTTTATTGTTACATTTGTTCTTTTAACCTTTCAATTTCTATTTTGGGTCCACTTACGGTTACACTCTCCCCATTTTCCTCGGGCCCTATCTCTAAGATGAGTATATCAGTTAAGCAATAATGTTTGATATGAACCCTAATTGTGTGTAACAAAAGAAAGGTCACGGTATTACTGGTTATGACATTTATCATGCATGCAGATTAAAATATGGCCAAATCATCAAATAAAGAGAGAAAACTTGCCTATGGATGGTAAATAACGGGGTATGCTCATCTATTTCTTTTCTTTTATTCATATATACTAAAAATTAAAATGTAAATGAATTTACAGTATTCAATAAAAACGTGATATTGGTCACAATCAAAGAATGCAATATTTTTTAAAATTCAAGATTTGTTTTGCATACCCGTATCTTGATCTGCACAGAACCACTGATAAAACGAAAAAAAAAAAACTCTTCAACCGGTCAAGAAGAAGAAGAAATTACATGGAAGGGGAAATCATCCTATTTCTTCACGATGAATCATCTTCACATAATCATGTGTAAAAAAGATAAAATCCAATATTTATTTTGTGCACAGTGGTAGCTCAGGCGCGTTTTAAAAAATATATTGGTGCATTTTGTACCCAATTTCCCCTTTTGGGACTGGGAAGGGAAGTCAATTCGCATAGCACATAAAACTTTTGAGTACAGTACGTATTATCACTTTAAATTCAGACAACTGAAAATTATTTATAGACAAACTCATAGTATGATTGATTTCTGATTTCCATAAAATCTGCTTCAATGTCATTACAAGCTACTACTGGAACGCAGATATACAACTACCAAGTTTTGATTTGCTTGCGGTTTTGCCAATGTTTCTATTTTAAGTAAAGGTCCAAACGTTATAAATGATGAAACAATCAATCAAACCATCCTGACATAAGCTTGTTTATAAAGCTGGTTCACACACTTTATTCCTCCCAATTTCTTTTCCCTTAACATAATTTTTTTTCTATCGTAAATGAAAGTAACGGATAAAGTAAAAAGGTTTGTTTAGTAGTGACTCTTGTTTCTTTGAAAAGACACTGAATTGAAAAAGATTTATTGCGATATTGCGGCTGCGGCTAGTCTTTGCTATAGGAGGGCGACCTCCCAGGCAGGGTTCTTGAGTTTTTTGAACTCACAGACCGTGAATGGCTGGGATTGGACTGTAAATAGGTTTGATCATACTGGCCTGCTGGCCTTAGCTAGAATTCCTGTAAGTGGTATAAAAAAAAATACGTTTGAAAAAAAAATACGGAGTTCTAGATATTTCTGGTTATAAGGACTATGGGCCCAATAATATTAGAATGTTTCTTCAGCTTATGCAAGAAGAAGTCCACAGTGTTGCTAAACATGCCAAAAGTTGTTTTATCCCACGCTCTACAGCCTATGAAATATCGAAACAGTGGAATGAAAGTGATGGAACCGTGATTCCTATCGGCTGTTTAAAGAAGCCTTCTAAAATAGGCGGGGCAAAGCGAGCAAACAGTTGTAAGATCACGGCACAGCAAACTGTGTTTCTTGCCGAGTTAGTGGACAAAAACCCGTGTATTACCATTGACATGGCAAGAGAGGAACTGTGTTCCTCTTTTGAAGGGTTTAGCATTTCCCAAAGTGGATTGAGAAAGCATATGGTTGAAAAGATACGACTTTCATTAAAAGATTCACATGACTATCTTGGTAAGGACCCTTCAAAATACCTAAATAAGTGTCCACTAAGATATAGCTGTGTAGATGACGTTGCTTATAAGATTAACAACTATCTTCCATCATACCAAAATTATATAAAGAAACTTAAAGAGGAGGGCTACAAAATCATAGGGTATATCAGAAAGTCGCCTGGCAAAGAGCCTGATGATAGAAGGCGCCAACTTTTAAAAACTATGAGCCTAAATCTTAAAGAAAGATCGTTGGTAGATGTGGTTTTTGCTTCTCCTTGTTCCCAAGCTTCCGATCCTATGCAAAGTAGAGATAAAAATCAACACACATTATTGGACGAGATTGATGTTGAAGGAAGCACTCAAGGTAAAGCCTATCATGTATTTACATATTTAATAAACACTTAATCCTTACTTCTTGTAGACTTGATAAAATTTATAGCTTCAGAAATCAAAGTTTGTTTGGCCACTTTGGACTATGCCGGCCTTAGCACAAACTGTTTGGACTTAAAGGAATTCTTAAGGTAAAAAAAAAACAATGAAAAAAAGAAAAAGGTAGCTTCTAATAATATTCTAATAGTGAAAAGACACAAATTAAAAAAATTATAGTTGATCTCTTTCCTTATACCAACGAAATGACTGTGTATGATTGTAAGCAGCTATTAGAAGATCCTGGACGTTTAAAGGTTTTCAATTGTAGAAAAGCTTTTTACCGAAGATCCAAGTAGTTTGCATGCAGTTAAATACTATAGTCAATAGTACTTCTATACAATGTGATAATATCCCATAGTTCTTGATTCCTCCTTCAGACTAATACCTACTTTAACTATTGTTTTCCACACCATTCTGTTTCATCCAGTCCTACCTCTCAATGATGCGTAAATTATAAACTAAAAAAATAAACAGATTCATAAGTTAATACAGTTGTACAAAAAGACCCTGCTGGGAATATATGAATTTATTTCATTTTTCAAAAAGTAACCTCGCTTTGTTGTTTTCCTTTTTCTTTTCAGTGAGCACAGCTGCGAAATTCTCCGTATTAAGAAACAAAATTGCTACTGTATAGATTGCTTGATTTGTTATTCAATTGGTACTATCTATCTAACCGTGGTATAAAGCCAATTGAAAAACGATATTTTAACAGATAAAATAATTTTTATTTGTTTACATCTGCACAGCAGTGATTGATTTTTTTTATGATTATTATTGTCACAAAATGTAACTGCCCTTGTCATGGTAAAGATCCATCACAACTTTCTCCACATCCCAATCAGCTTTTTCAAGTCTATCCTGAGCCTCATTTTCATCACACAGGTCGTAATGAATGACATAACGCACCTTGTTCTCTTTCAAGAGTCGAACCATATTGGTTTGCCATTCAAAAAGAATGCGTGCCTTTACACGTTGTCTCTTCTCTGGAAGGATGGTTTTAACAGGCACCGTAAATCCTGCACTGATCGGTCGATGATCGGATGCTTTTACTTCGTGACGACGGTAATAAACATTGGTTAAAGCACTTGGTGCTCGATACAGCACACGATCACACCAGGCAGGTATTCGCTTCTTTTCTGAACTGTCATACATATCTGAAGTAGGATCGTACTTGTACGTCGGGTCAAATAAGATGGGTGCCTCCTTAAAGTTGAACAATCGAAACATGGGATTCAGCACCTGTTGTTGTTTTAACTGATCTTCTCGCTGTAGCGTCTCCCAGGCTTCAAACCTGTTGTTGCTGTTTTCGGATAATAAGCCCAGTACCTGTTCTCGCGACATGGCAATACGATAGTTTAAATCCCCACTTAGGAAGCAAGTTTCATGGTCCAAGATACCGGTGCCATCCGTTTCACGAGTGAATACATTATTTTCCTCATCACCACCATCGTGAAGAGCGGGGAAGCGTGCAGAGGTAATTATACCTTCGATATCAAGATTACGTTGCAGTACATGCGATTGACCCGAGGCTAAATGACAATTGACAAAGCATAGCGACGTATCGTCCAAAATTAACCGAGTGGCAATCCCGCCTTTATTTCCGTGCAATCCTTTCGTCATCACACGAAATCCTGTCTTGACAACGGTGGAATCACATTGACGCACACGCTTGAGATGATCGGTCTTTAAGAAGATACAACTGAAGAGGCCTACCATTTGATCTGTCTTGATAATCTCGTATTTCCCTTTACCAAAGTTAGTAGAGATAATCGTGATAAAATAATCATGCCATAACATGTATCGGTGAGTTAACAATTCATCGGCTTCTTGTATCGTATCAATCTTTTTACTCAGGTTTAATAACGATTCTTTTTTTTTTTTTAAAAAATGATGCAAAGAAAAATAAAAAAATTAAAAAAAAAAAAAAATTAATTATAGAACAAATGATAGAAACTTTTTTTTTTTTTTTATTACTCGCGGTAATTGTCTTGGAACCGAGATCAACTATTTCTTGTATTCCAATCATGATTATATCTGGGTCAGTCATACCGTTTAACCATTCATGGATCTTTTCCTTGTCTACGTCGGATAGAGCTTCGGGTTTAATTGCACCCATATTCCAGGAACAAATCATTAAATTTGTTTCATTGGAATCTGAATATTCTGCTACATTGGCCAACATTTGTTCCTCTTTTTTTTTTAAAAAAAAAAAAATATGACATTAAAACAGGGTTCATTATCTTTAAAAAATAAATGCCCTTACCAAACCAGTCATCGGTCAAGAGACCATCCCAGATAGCCAAATGTCCCGCAGAATCCATACTTACCACGGCCACTGTTTCAGCCATGGAGAAATCATCAACTTGTAGTTTAGTAACGGGGTTTCGATGTGCTTTCCATATTTTAAGAGCAATCCAAGGGTCCACTCTCGTATCATAAATAGCAATAGTACCATTATTATATCCCACCCATAAATAATACTCCCCCACGGTAGCCAAACAAGTCAGTTTATCAACGGAAGAAATGACGATAGACTTGACACGTTGACACGAGACCAGATCCCACGCAGTAATTTTCCCATCCGAATGCAAGGCATAAATCTGGTGTTGATGAAAAGGAATGAGGACCAATCGAATAATATCTCCGAGATCAGACGAGATATGTATCAGGGGTATCGACACATTTTCTGATCGATCCAACTTGAGAATAGATCGTCCTGCAGAACACCAAAGCACCGATTTCTTAATCGCCAAAATGGCGGTTTTTAAGTTGGGCGCCAATAGATACCGCGTTGGCATCGTGTTCAATAGGTTGATCGTCGTCGAACTCGCATTCGATTTATTGGGAAATACAGGCCAGATATTCAAATTACCTCCAGCATCAATCGTCCATAATTCAGTATTACGATGTCGAAGTATAAACGTGATGGGATGGCTATGCGTTGCCATCCGTTTCACTAGTACCTTATTCGTTTCGATATCAATCGCTAATATAGAGCCCGTTTCTGTGCCCGCCCACACAATCTTATTATCATCGTTGGGATGGATGGCAGGAGAAAAGCATACAGATCGAATTATGTCAGAAGAAGTCTCGTTATTGCTGTTAGTGCTGCTACTGCTACTGCTACTGCTGCTACTACTACTACTACTACTACTACTGCTGCTGCTGCTACTGTTATTGTTATTGTTATTGCTGCTGCTATTACTGCTGTTGATGCTGTTGTTGGAAATGGTGGTATGATTAAATAAAGCGTCCCCTTGTTCGTGAATCTGAAATGATTTGATGGCATAATTAGAGGTACCGATAACGATGGTTGAACCTCTTACGGTTAAAGCGTGTATGGTACCATATTGGTTAGGTATGCGTATTTCGTGACTTAATATGTTGGGAGGTTCAACAGTTGTACGCGACATATCAGGGTACAGAAGATCATCCTTTGTGGTAGTGGAAAGTAATATTTCCCAATCATCTGTGGATACTTGTCTATCCAAGATAGCGCCATTTAACGAATTTGATCTAGATAAGGCGGCGGCAGCAGCAGCAGCAGCAGTAGCAACAGCATCTGGATCGTGATGGTGATGGGTGTGACAATAATTGCTGTTATCAAGCGAATTTGATCGTGGGATATTCAATGATCGAAATAAATTACTATTAGTTAGTTTGGGTGACACGGTGATTTGTACCGCAATAGTAGTTGAACTATCCGAGATTAGCACATTTTCTTCAGGAGAACACGCCTTCTCCTTTGACATGTTTGTTTCCATGGTTTTTTTTTTTTTGAGTAAAGAAAGAAAAAGAACTGAACAAAACTTCCGATTTTTTTCTCGATTTTTTATAAAAAATAAAAAAAAAAGAAGAGGAGAGAGAGAGAGAGTAAGAGACAGAAAGAGACGCTATTTAATTCTTGCACAACATTTGTACGACTTTTAGCATTTTTTAAACCTATTCAACCTCCTCGTTTTTTTATTATATATTTATTTCTCCCTTCTTTGTTACATATTAATTTTTATTTTTTTACATCTTTTTTTTTTTTTTTTTTTTTTTTTGCCCATTGTGTGTGTCTTATAGTGTGTGTTTGTGTGTGTTTTTGTTTTTTTTTTTTGACGCTCCCTTTTATACACTTACCTCCCTTTCCTCCCCCAACCAACCAACCAACCTACCAACCAACCAAAAAAAAAAAAAAGTTGTCAAATTTTCATATTTTTATTTTTTTTAATACTATACCCTTCCCTTGTTGTTTAATTTCTTCTACTTAAGTGTACAATGTCACAACCACCCGTCATCAACTATGGACAAGACGAGATTCCCCATTTACGTTCACAAAACGATCAACTATGGAAGATTATTGAAAAGCAAAGAGTCATGATTCAAAACCTTCAAAAAGACAATGTTCGACTCTCAGCAGAAAGAGATGGTTTACAAGACCACATTAGTTCTCTAGAAAAGGAAGTGACTCGAAAGCAACGTGTCACTTCTTTACTCATCTCACCTCAAGCACTACAAGAGATTGTAGAAGCAGATGATGCTTCTACTCCTACTCCCAATAGCAGTGACACGGAAGCCTTCAACTTCACTACGCTTCCCACCACCAGCCCCATGCCTCCTCCTCGTTCACCTTATCGACCTCTCAAGGAAAAAGCAGACGATTATATCAGGTCAGAGGGTCAAGTTGTGTTTGAACCCGAATCTTTGATGCGCGTGGAGGACATGAACGGTCGTTCCTCACCTGGCTCTCCTGCACCTGGTCCTCATACCACAAGACGTAAAGATAGTGCTCCTTTACCTTCTCCCAGCACAAGAAATCCTTCGCCTTTCATTGTACCTTCGCCTTCTAAATCCTCTTCCTCACTCGAGGTAAGAAAGACATCACGTCAACGAGACTCAATGATGCCTCCTGCAAGAGCTGCTCTCGAGCATGATCCCACCATGCGTGTCGCTTCTCCTCCCATCCCACCACCTCGAACAAGCAACAAAAAAAAGCGTGAAAGTACACTCTATTCCAAGTATCAGTATGATGATGAAATCGAGGAGGATCTCGAGGATCCCTTATCCAAAAAGCAACGCATCTTACTCCACAACCTCTCTCATGTCTCTATTAAAGTGGTCGGCTCCAATATTAAACCCAATGATAAAGGCAAAGAAGTCATTTCTTTCATCTTGTCCGTCGGTTCCTATGATGAGGATGAATCTACCAGTCGACACTTTGAGGAACAATGGCGAGTAGAGAAGTTATATTCAGACTTTTTAAGTTTAGATTCCAAGGTACATTATTTTTATTTTTATTTTATTTTATTTTCTCGTGTGCCATCTACATTTATATCAATCACTCATATGTACAATCTTTTTTAGCTGAAAACACAACGTAATCGTGCGGTTTCAAGTAGGTTGGGTAAATTACCCGACAAGGCCTTGTTCTCAAATAATGCACCTACCAAGGTGGATCAACGTAAAGTGGCCCTGGAACAATACTTACAACATATGCTTTCATTACCCATGGAAGATACCACAGATATCTGTACTTTCCTCTGTACAAACATCATTGATTCCAATATCTATCAAACTGTCGGCCAAAAGCGTGAAGGTTATCTCACCAAACGAGGCAAGAACTTTGGAGGTTGGAAAACTCGTTACTTTGTCTTGAACGAAAATATTCTTGAATACTATGAATCCGTAAGTCTTTTTTTATTATTATTACACACACACACACATTTTTTTTTTTTTTAATTAAACATCTCGTGCAACCCCCCCTTTTTTTTTTGGCCGCATGTAGAAGGAAGGAACTCAGCTTGGCTCCATTCGTTTAACCAATGCTCAAATCGGTCGACAAATGCCTGGTTCTTCTCCTGCATCGGAAGAATACAATAGTGTATATCGACACGCCTTCTTAATTGTGGAACAAAAACGTGTTGGTTCTACGCATCATGTCCGTCATATTCTATGTGCTAATTCCGATGATGATCGTGATGATTGGGTTCATGCTTTACTCGAGAACATTCATATTGAAGAAGACGCTATCCCACTCACCAAATCGTCTTCTTCTACCACCACCACGTCCTCCTCTAAAAAGAAGAACAAGGAAGAAAAACCCCGAAAGTTAAGTAAAGGAGAGATTCGTGCTATTTCCGCTACACCCATTAGTAAACTCGACATGAGCAGTACAACTGCTGCCGATATGGATAAATTGACGTCTACCCCATGCTCCTCCACAGTGATGGTGGAAGATCCTTCCACCATTGGTATGGCCATTTCACATCCTAAATACAGTCAACCCACACCTTCCATTTCAAGCGATAGCACAGACTCTTCTTGTACTGTACCCGCTTCTAATTCCGTGTCACCCAACGCAACTTGGTCCTACCATGATCGTACCAGTTTGGATCAATCCGGTAACACATCCCATGCACGTTTACAAGCACCTCGACCCACCATCGTACGTCGTAGTTCAATGGGTAACCTGGTCTCTGCCACCACTGAGCAACAATTGGCGAATGAAGACTTTTTAAACCCACATGCTTACAATCGTGCTTTATCACCCACAATTACCTACCCACAGGTAGAGGAACCTCCTGTGTCTGAAAGTGAACCTGAGAAAAAGGCTAGAAACAAGGCACATCGTATGACCTTTTGGGGAAAGAAGATGTTATTTAGTAATACAGAGGGACAGGTACAACAACAGAATGGACCTCCTAAACCATCGCAGTCAGCCTCGGCTACTACTCATGATCAAGCTTCTGGAAGTCATACGAATCTCAGCACGAACAATGGAGGAGGAGGTGGAGGAGGAGGCGGTGGAGGAGGAGGAGGTGGTAGTGGTAATGGAGGAGGAGGATTACGTGGATTTTTATCTCGTACATCGCATGAACAAAGTGAACGATCCAAGAAATACGAAGATGTACCTTTGCCTAAACCTGCCAAACAAGTATTTGGTGTGTCATTAGAAGAAGCGGTGCGTATCTCTCGCGTGTCAGAAGGATACGAGTTACCAGCGGTGGTGTACCGTTGTATTGAATATCTAGATGCGATGGATGCAGTGTTAGAGGAAGGACTGTATCGTCTCAGTGGTAGTAATTCGACAATGAAGGCCTTGAGAGAAAAGTTCAATCAAGAGGGAGATGTGAATATATTAGCGGCCAAGGATGATTATGATGTGCATGTGGTGGCTGGACTACTCAAGATGTGGTTGCGTGAATTACCTACCAGTGTACTGACAAGAGAGCATCGGATGGATTTCCTGCATGTGATTGATCTGCTGGATCGCAAAGATCGAGTGAATGAGTTGGGTAGACTGGTGTCTGTGTTACCACTTTCGAATTATACCTTGTTGAGAGCCTTGACAGCCCATTTGATTCGTGTGGTGCAACATTCGGATATCAACAAGATGACGATGCGTAATGTGAGCATTGTGTTCTCTCCTACACTGGGTATCCCTGCTACAATTTTTAACTTGTTTATGAGTGAATTTGAATATATTTTCTGGATCACAAAAGACGGGGATGCTGCACCTCGCATGATTGAAGATGAAGTGCCCGTTTTGGAGGAGGAGGAAGTACAGCCGGTCATGGTGGTAGTGGAAGAAGAAGAAGAAAAAGAAACAGAACAGCAGCAGCAGGTGGAAGGGAAGGAAACACCTGAGCCATATGGACTGAGTCGTAAAACAACACTTCGGTTGCGTGAAGAACATGGCCGTAGTAACCGTAACAGTGTGAATTACATGGATGGAGCACCTAATGCGATTGTTGATTTAGAAAAGAATATGGATGGACCACCTGTTCTTGATGAAGATGAGGATGAAGATGTGGATGACTTGACACTTTCTAACCAACAGTTGTATGCTCCTTCTTCTTCTTCAAATATATTTTAACCCTATTATTATTATTATTCTTATTATTTTCCTATTATTATTCTTTATTATTTATCTAACCCCCCCCCCCCTCTCTCTCTCTTTTTCTCCTCCATTTAATTTAAGCTCTCTACTATTTGTTCACCCCCTCGTTTTTTTTTCTTCTCTCATAATAATTTTCTCTCTCTCTCTCGCTACTCTCTCTCTTTTTTTTTTTCTTTTTTTTTTTTTTTTTTATAATGTAATTTTTAATTGAAATAAAATGGTCTCAACTAAAATAATCATGTATTTATTTGGGAAGAGGGATATGTAATGAAATACAGGAATAGAAAGAGAGAGAGTGTGTGTGCGTGATAAAAAGTAATCAATATGTGCTATTATTAGAAGGAATATATATGATATAGTGGCGATCATGCATTACATTTGTATTGTGATTATTATTTTTTCCTTTTTATTTATTTACAACAAACATTTTACATAAAAATCCTCTCTTTTCTTTTTTTTTTTTCTTTTTCCTTTGTTTTTTCCTCTTTTTTTTTTTTTTCTTCTTCCTTTTTTTTTTTTTTTTCTTTTTCTTCCTTTTTCTCTTTTTATATATATATATATATATAATAGTAGTATGGGGACAGAAGAGAATGTTATACGATTTGTTATTGGAATCTTTGTTTCTCTAGGTTTGTTCTTGAGGGGGGATCATTGTGATTTTATCTTTTTTTCTGATGACTTTTTGAACTAGGTGCTTCATTTATGGATGCACTTGGTCTAAATATTTTGAAACTAGATCATGTAAAAGAATCCAAAAAGGACCACCAACGAGGTGATTGTGGAAGACCTTTATGGCATTTAGGTCTTTATACATACATTGCCAGTCAATTAATTGGTAGCACAATCGCATTAAGTATGTTTATTGTACATCTAATAAATACAAACAACTGATCTCTTACTCTCTCTCATTTTTTCTTTCTTAATCTAGATTATTTAAAAACTCAAGTAAATAAAAAAAAAAAAAAGGAGCCTCTATTTACATATATATCTTATTCACCAAAAAAAACCTCTTTTTTCTCTCTCTCTCTCTCTCTCTCTTTTTCTATCTGTATATATATATATATATATATATATATATATTATATTTATTTTCGCTTTTTATCCAAAACTTGTGATTTGTAGTGGGTTGCACCGCTTGGAAGTGTGGCCTTAATATTCAACTTTATCTTTGCAAAATTACTCGTCAATACCAAAATCACTCGAAAGGACGTTCTCGGTACTTGCGTCGTTGTTGCATCTGTAATATGGATTGTTGTATTTGGAGGCATGTACAATGGTGATGACCGTATGTATACTCTTTTTAAACCCCCTTTTTATCTGTTTCCCCCTTTTCCTTTATTTACTAACTACTTAAAAACTTAGCCGAAGAATCCATCTCTCTGGAAAGTCTCAAAGTCAAGTTTGTCAGACCCATCTTTATCATTTACTTTAGTGCTCTCAATATCATTGCCTTTGGTGGTTTAACTATCTCTATTTGGTCCAACTGGGCCATCTCAGATGAATCCAGGAAGCGCAAGAGTCAAGTATTTGCTACCATGAACCAAAAGAAAATGAAGCATATCGTTGGCTTGATGTTTAGTATCGAAGGTGGTCTCTTGGCCAGTGAAACCTTACTCTTGGCCAAAAGTGGTGTCAAACTATTTACCTTGTCCATGCAATCTCAGGTAAATCAGTTTAACGATAATGTCAGCAGGTTCATCCTCTTGGCTTTACTCGTCACTGCTGTTCTTCAAGTAAGTTTTATTATTATTATTATTATTATTATATATCCCTTTTGTCTCTCCTCCTCCTCCTCCTCCTCTTCCTCCTCCCTTTTTCTCATAATTTATTCATTTTAGGTCTATTGCTTAAATACAGCCCTTAAACTCTACTCTTCCGTAGTGGTAGTCCCTGTATTTTATGGTAGTTATACTGCAGTGGGTCTTGTGAATACCATCATCTACCTGGACGAGATTGGAAACTATCCTCCATGGGCTATTATTCTAGTCTTTGTTGGAATAGGAGTATTAATTTACGGTGTATTCTTGCTCAGTTCTAAACCGGATCCAGCCCATCATCATCATGGTCATGGAGAAGAAGCACCGGTTGTGCAAGAGTTGGACGATATGGGTGAATCAGCTGCTGCGATGGAACAATGGTTGTCTGCCAAAGATGAAAAGGAAGCTGTACACAAGATGATTGGTGAAAGTAGCTCTGCTCATAGTCTTAAGGAACCCACGACGAAGACTGAACGAGGAAGAGTGAGTAAATTCTTTCGAAAATTGAAACTGTTGGGAACAATGCATCATCCCGTTCCACGAAGAGAGATGGATACTTTTATTAGTTTAAATAGTAATACAACCACGATTATACCACTTGCTATTTCCTCCAACTCTTCCTCTTCTTCTTCCGTCCATCATATAAAATAATGTTTATATATATATATATATATATAGATATATTTTATTTTTTTTGTGTAAATAATAAAAAAAAAAAAACTACATGCGTCGATGGACTTCAAAAAAAGTCGAATTATTTAAATATTCTCCAATGCTCTTGTATTCTAAATGTCGAAAGATATTTTCGAAATGAGGCATAAATTCTCTTCGAGGTACATACAGATTAAATTCCAGATCAGCAAATACCGCAAACTCATGCTCATGAATTTCCTTCGCATCCACACCCAATTCATCATCCATCGCCTCTAGCAACGGTTGAAACCATGTCCCTTTCGCCTCATTCACTTTGGTTGCTAAAAAGAGACAACAGGCAGCCAATAGTTTACGGTTCTTTTTTGTCACCATATTTTTCACCACCAATTTCTCGAAATAGACATACGCATGCGCTACACTGGATACTTCCAGATCAAGCCCTTTGCCAATCTCAAACAAGTGAAGCTTAATCGCTCGTATCTTTGAAAGCGTGATCTCGGGTGACAATTGTGGGTGGTTTTGTCGAAACTGTTCATTCATTTCTCGTTTTACATCAGACGGTCGCATCCCATTCGTCAACGTTCCCTGCGTTTTGGTGGGGTATGTTAGTATAGACACGCTAAAATTTTTTTTATTTTATCACTTACCAATGAGCTTGGATCTAGACCATATTTACCATACGTGTCATCATCTAGGAAATACGGGTCATACGAATCCGCTGTAAGTTGTTGTTCCACCGTGGTATCATCACTACTTTTTTTTATAAAATGTTAGTTTCTGTTCTTCATTGTGGGAGAGTGTGTTTCTACAATTTACAGTAAGGAACCCGTTGTGTTCAGGTAATGAGCATAGGAATTGGCTCGACGGTATTTGTGCCCGTCATGGCTCTCAAGTTGTTGCTGTCTACACATTCTCCGTGTGTCAGTTATTTTTTTTTGTATTGTATATATACTCATGAATGACTTACACGTAGCCACGATGAGCGGACTGATCAAAGGTCTTTCGCTTACTTGATGAATGTCGAATCTTGTCCGTGTAATAGCGGAATACGGACATGATGGACATTGCGTTGTGGCCATGCTTTTTTTTTTTAAAATTAAAATATAAAAATGTTAAAAAAAAATAAATCCAATGAATGAATTAAAAACAAATAAAAAAACCTCTTTTTCGCCGTGAGCCGACTTTTTCTTGATTTTCTCAGATGCAATGGGACGTTCGCTGTCCTCGCGTGTGAGTTTATGATGACTCTCGTTGCTGCTTTCGGAGGGATTGCGCTTAGGGATGAGGTATTTGGTTCTCTTTTGTTGTGAGATATCCAGCGCATTGGATGTTATAACGGGTGGAGCGGTTGTTGAATGCGTTCGAGGGTGGGTCTCAGTAGGTAAGGTGGTGGTTTGGTCTTCGTCGGCTGAAAAGCAGCTACTGTCGGATGAGTGCAAAGAAGCTGAATGAAAAGGGAGAGAGAAAAAAAAAAAAAAGGGTTAATAAAAGGTGGTGGTATGTGGTGGTGGTGTGTGGAATTACTTACCGCCGAGAGGGGTGTCGTCAACGTAGTGTATGTTGTGGGAGAGGTAAGCGAGTTGTAAGTCATCCTGTGGTTCTTGGGACGACAATGGTGGTGGTGACGGGGGTTTCTTTTCACTTCCGAGTGCAATGTTGGATAAGAAAGTATAGGCAGTTGGTCTCGAGTTATTCCGCCTAGATTTACGACTTTTAGTCGTGCCCATTGGCTATTGCGTTTAATAAAAGTTGTTGCTTGCAAACGTGAAGAATATCTTCCTGCAATCAAAGTCAATGCCACTTGTTCAAGTATCTTGCTCTAATTGTTTTGTTTGAAGAAGTTATTTAAAAAAAAAAAAAAAAAAAGGACAATCTGCACTTTTTTTTTTTTTTATAGTGTTGAAAAAAAAAAAAGTTTTTTTTTATATATATATAGAGAGAGAGAGAGCTGAAATAAGAAAAAGGGCGGGAGAAACAAAAAAAAAAGATTCAACAAAAAAAAAAAGAACTCATAAACGTCATCTGTGACGTCGTTCAGTTTGTCTAAACGGGTTTTAGATTTTTTTTTTTGTTGTTTAAGCATCTTTTTTTCGCTTTGTTACCTACCCCCTCTTTTTTTAGAAAGACTTTTTAAAAATGAAGACTTTTGTTAGTCCTGGTTATGCTACGTGTTGTAGTCTGTTATCCTTTTGTGGTATCCTCTTTCTTGTAAGTTGACATCATCTCTCTTTTTATGCATCCATCTCTTTCTTATTTCAAACACGCTTTTTTTTTTATTAATTTTTATTCCCGCCTCCCTTTTTGTGTAGATTGTTCTCGGCATGGCGTTTGATGCTGAAGTAGAGATTTTGACAGAATTTACTTCTGACCCTGACGACCCAAAGATGACGGCCAAGGCCTGTTTCACTGCTGCTGCTGTCTATGCCTGTTTCCTTGGTTTCTGCGGTTGCCAGGTAAAAGCTTCCCCCCCTTTTTTCATTTACACACACACACATGTATACTTAACCCTTTTTCTTTTTCTGTCTGCCTGTAGATGTTGGTTCACAAGTTTAATTCCCGTAATCAAATTCAACTCTAGGACGAGAGACAGAGAGAGAGAGAGATAGAAAGAGAGAGAGAGAGAAAGAGATATATTTTTATCATATCACTTCTCTCCCGCGTTTCATGTTGTTGGCCCAAAATAAACAGGAAAAAAAAAAAAAAAAAAAAAAGTCTATTTTTTTTATTTATATATTTTTATTTGTCTGCCTTCTTTTGTGGACTGATTTCTTTAAGAGCGATCAACATTTGCTCACGACAGCTATCAGCCAACTTTTGAACCTCGGATGATTCCTCCAAGACATCCTTTGTAGAGATAGGGGGTAAGATACGACATTTGACGGTACCAGGGTTAAATCGCTTTTCTTTAGCACTATAGAGATTGTAGTAATTGGCAAGGACGACAGGTACAATGGGTACTCTAGCTTGTACTGCCATGTAAAATGGTCCCTTTTTAAAAGGTAATAATGTGACTTCAGATTCATGTCCACGAGTTCCTTCAGGGAATACCCAAACATTGATCTGTTACATTTTTAAAAAAATCAGTCATCATTGTATTTTTTGACACATGTTCTAAATTTTACCCCCTTCTTGTGAATATCAGCAGCTGCTTGTTTGGCTTCCTTGACAGCACTGTCTCTGTTCTTTCTATCTAAAAAGATGGCATTACTCATGGTCACTACACAGGAGGTGAATTGTTAATAAAACAGAGAATCAAAGCGATCCTATGAAGCTACTTTACTAAACCAGCCCAAGAAGGGATAAGACTTGAGTTCCTTTTTGGCAACAATGGAGGTATTTTTACGATAAGCGACACCAATGAGCATGACATCCAAAGAGGATTGATGATTGCAGACATAGATAGCAGGACCTTTGATTTGATCCAGTAGCTCGAGGCCTTCACAATCGACTTCTAAGCCAGTCCAGAATTGAGAAGTAGCACGCATGACTTTAGCGACGGAATAATTGATGAGATGGGTACAACGAAGAGGAGTGAGAATACAGGCAATAATAAAGCCATAGACAGAGACAAAAAAGAGTAAGACTTTGGCCATGGTGGAACGGTAATAATAACCACCGTAATGACGGTAGATTAACAAGAATGACAAGACTGACACCAACACCATGGGCCAACTCCACTGCACAGACTTTAACTTTGACAGCACTAAACAATTATTTTGTGTGTGTGTGTGTGTTATTGTTTATTGGGAGCATTATTATTATTTTTCTTTTCTTTTTTTTACCTTCTTCGTTCATTGTTTGTTTAATTATAATAAAAAAAGAAAAAATTAATAAATTACAAATTTTTTTTTTTTTTTATATAAAGATAAACCCCCCACCCCAAAAACCCTAATTGGGGGTTTGAAAGCTATTTAATGCAAACTCAGATTTAGTTGTTGAGACTTGCCACTGCATGTGAAAAAAAAAAAAAAAAATTATTTTTATGGCTCGAGATTTTCTTATGTCAGCTCATACACCCCCCATCAAAAAAAAAGGAACGCGCGCCTTTTATATATAATTAGGCACAGACAATCTCTTATGCAGTGAAACTTTCTTTCGCGCTTTCCCTAAAACCTTTTTCTTTTTTTTTTTCTCTCTCTTTTTTTCTTCCCCCCCCCCCCTCCTTTTCTTCATCTCTCCATGGAGTAAAAAAAAAAAAAAAAAAAAAAAAGGGGACCTTGATGAGGAAAGACAAAAAAAGAAGCTTGTGTGTGTGTGTGTGTGAAGAGAAAATGTAACTGGTGCGGTTTTCAAATAAATGGATTGTAACAACTTTTTTTTTTTTTTCTGTACTATATAAAAAAACTTTCCCTCCTTTTTTTTTCTTTTCTCTCTTTTGTACCTTTTTTTTTTTTTTCTTTTGTTCTATATATACATAAAAATGGGTGCTTTATGCTGTAAACAAGAAGAAATCGACGAAAGCGGAGGTGAGATTGAAAATAGAGATAAGAAGAGAGAGAGAAAGAAAATTAACGGACGATTTTTAATATGTAAAAAAGGACCGGAATTAAATCATTTCCAAGTACTCAAGATCATTGGAAAAGGTGGATTTGGTAAAGTGCGGATTGTACAACACAAAAAGACACAACGACGCTATGCACTTAAATACATGAATAAGACACAAATCATCAAGGATAAGGCAGTAGGCAACATCCTATCCGAACGTCGCTTACTCGAACACATCGATTACCCTTACATTGCTAATATGCGTTATGCCTTTCAAGATGATGAAACCTTGTTTATGGCACTTGATCTCATGTTGGCCGGCGATTTACGTTTACAACTCGAAAATGACCCTAAACGATTTAATGAATTACAAGTACGACATCATGTTGCCACTTTGGCCTTATCCTTGGGCTATCTCCATAAAAAGAGAATCGTTCATCGAGATATCAAACCAGAAAATATTCTCACTGACGCTAAAGGATATGCTCATCTCGCTGATTTTAATATCGCCACTCAGTTATCTCCCAGTCAACCATGGATTTGGTCAAAAGGGGGTACCATCGCTTACATGGCACCCGAAATACTCGCCAGAAAAGGTTATTCAACCTCCGTCGATTGGTGGAGTTTAGGCATTGTTACTTTCGAACTCTTATTTGGCATGGTAAACAATACAACTGAAACACACAATAAAACCTCTTTTCTGTTTCAATTTATATTCACTCTCTATTATCTATTAGCGTCCATTTACAGCCTCATCCAAAGAAGCTCTAGTTCATTCCATATTGCATCATACGCCCGTCTTTCCTGACAATGTGTATGAGATTGTATCAAAAGACTGTATTAACGTCATCACCGGTGTAAAGTATTCACTCTTCTTTTTTTTTTTTTTCTTACCTAACAACATCAAACTTTTATTAGTTGCTGGACAAATCGCCCTTCCATCGGTTGGGGTGCAACACGGATGGATTTGAGAAATTCAAGATGCATCCTTGGTTTCGAGGTTTGGATTGGGATTTATTAGAAAAGAAGCAGCTGACCCCACCCAATAAGCCTACCACAGTGCGTATTTTCCATTTCATTTATTCTGGTATATACTCATAATTTTTTTTTTATAGACTCAGTATAGACTGTTTACGGAGGATGGGTTGATCTCTCACAATAAACGACATTCAGCTGTCAAAACTAGTAGTAGTATGGATGTATTAAACCCTGTCACGGAAGAAGCGAGATATCGAATGCAGTTGGAAGATGAATTCTTAAACTTTGATTATTCCCAGCACGGTATGGTCGAAACAGATTCCGACACGGGATTTTTAGAGGGAAGAAGAAATTCACTCAAGAGACACTATGATCGCTTTAAACGCAGATCTCAATCTATTACCACTTTTGAACCTTACTCTGATTAGTTTGTTTGTTTATTTATTTCTCTTTTTTTATTAATTGTACATATCACATTCCTGTATTAAAGCACTCCCCCCCCCCATACACACACACTATTTTAAACACAAAGTTTTTTAATTCTTAAATTGAATAAGCATGTGATTAAACAAAGCAAAAAAAAAAAAAAAAAGATCATCACTTGCATGCACATCTTTCTCTCATATATATATATATTTATGTATACATTTCTTTCTCTCTCTCTCTCTCTCTCACACACACACACACACACACACACATATACTCTTTTTTTAAAACGCATTTGCATTACATGAGTACTATCGTCCAAGTACCCACACTTTGTGCTTCTCAACAAAAGGGTCGTACATAATAAATTTATTATTAGAGAAGGGACTCCATCAGACTTACACAGCTTGTGTCATACCCTTCACCAAACATGAAAAAATGATTTAAATGATGATACATTTCATACAACCTCAAACGTTCCTCCTCTGGCTCATCACACCCCGCCACATCATAATAAGCATCGAAACAGTCTGAAGTAAAGCCACCAAACATCTTCATTATTCCAAACTCCGCCTCATGATGTCCATAATAGGATGCAGGATCAAAGATCACTGGCTGATGGTCTCTGACAGCCCAATTGCCGTTCCATAAATCACCATGAAGTAAAGAGGGTTTCTGGTGGATATCTGCCAAGAGATGATCCAAATGACGGACGACCGACTGACCTAACCTGTCTAGATCTGGGTTCTGACCTGCCACCGCATCCAACAAAGGTTGTAAACGCTGATGACGAAAGAAATCACACCAGTTTGAGTTGGGTGTATTGTTGAGTTGGGTAGTACCACAAAAAGAAGTGACAGGAAACCCGTATTGAGGTGCTTGATGGGAATGTAAATGGGCTAGTGATGTTCCTAATTGGCGTTGCATGTCCGGAAGTCTCTTTTCTGCCGTAGACAACCTCATGAATTCTGTCACAATAAAAGCGGGATGATCCCTCTGACTGTAAAAGAAAAGAGGACGTGGTACGAATCCTGGTACAGCTTCATGCATACGTTCTAAAGCCAATGATTCTGCTAGAAACCATTGTTCCGCTTTAGCATCTGAATTTGTCTATATATATATATATATATTATGTGTGTTATGTGATTTTTATAGATGTGATTTATTATCTCTCCTTTTTTTTACCTTTACAAAGAAATCCCCTGTGTCTGTAGAATAACGTTGGGCGGTACTAATACAACCGCCTGATAGAGATTGGATCGATTGTATTGACGTACATAATTGACGTCTTTTTAACTCGGAAATGATGTATTCTTCAGACATGGTAGGAAAGATAAATAGGTCACATGTCTACAATCAAAAAAAAGATGTGCGTCATGCATTACAGTGTGTGTGTGTGTGTGACTTGTTTGGGGGGAATCATCATTTTTTTTTTTTTTTACAGCGGGAACGCGTGCCTTTTTTTATTATTATTATTATTGTTATTATTATCACACACCCCCCATTAAAAAAATGACAGAGAAAGCGTTGGAACAAATGACAGAAGAAGAATTAGATGCACGACTAGAAAGAGTGCAACAACGTACAACAGCAGCTTTACAACACATTGATGAAAACTTTTCGACTTGTAATCGTAACTTGCTTCAACTTTCCCATGAAGTGGATCGGTTTGCGGCTGTTACTCAAAAGATCTGGGACAACAGTCAGGTAGGAGAGGGAAACAGGGGGTGACATGGGGGAGTTCTCTTATTCACACTTAAGAGACATTTAGGGATGGGCCATGTTCTTTCAACACATTCGAGACATGCCGTCACAGATACTAGAGGATGACACACAAGTATTCTCGACCAACTCCACCAACCGACCTGTGATATTAGAGAGGACAGGTGGGACTGCAGAAAAGAGAAAGAGGATGGGTAACACTTTTTCAGAACGGTTAAAGTATCGTCGTACACCTTTTATGTCGGACACGTTTTCTAGCCCACTTCGACCCCCCACCGACCGACATTTTAATATGGGTGGAAATACACCTTCGACTTCATCCAGTGCTTATTCTCGAAAGATGCGACAATCACCACCCCGTACGGTACCTTTTACTCTGTCTGATTCACAATTACAAGGTACACCCATTGCAGAACAAGTGCGACTCTTAACGGAGAATACGATGCATAGTGTGGGATATCGAGTGTCTGATGAAGAAGTAGATAATTTTGCAATGGATGTAGAGGATCGAGAGAGTAAAGAAAGGTTTGAAGCATTTTTCAAGTCGAGACAACCTACAAGTGAAATAGAAGCCTATGAATTTTCAGATGGGATTAGACCTTTAGAGGGAATGATGGGAGAAAGAAGGATATCATCGTATTATGGAAGTGAAGTGGGTAGTAGTATGAGTGGTAGTAGTGAGTCCTTCATTCCCAAACAATTCAATTTGATCCATTTTCCAGAACAATTTCGAACCCCTCCTACCTCTATCAGATTAACAAAGGTGTATGACTTATTTAACAATAGACCTGGTATTCTCTTAACTGTCAAGGATGTATTGGCTTTAATGGATGGTGATCATGATGAAACAACTATTTCTTATTTAATTCAAGTACTAAGACGAAAGAAATACATTAAGCAAGTGGGTGAAAAAGAAGCTTGGGTGATCAGAAGATGATTAGGAGAACAAAAGGCAATGACATACTTTTCTTTGTGAAACCCTGTTTTTTCCCCCCGTCACTGACGTCAAGTGAAGACTAAAAAGGAAATACCGACGTCATTTGCTCGTATTTTTTTTTTTTTTTTTTTTTTTTTCGTAGCTTATAAACTCTTTTTTAGATTTAATCTCTTTTTTTTTTTTTTTCTTCTTTATTATTCCCCCCCAAAAATAATATATATATATAATACAACATTAAAAATGCTTGCACAAATAAAAAGTTTATTTAAACCAAAAAGATCCGTTGCTAAAGGTTTGTTTTTCTTTCACTTTTTCATCTCTATTTTTTTATTTTTTATCTAAGTATGAGCACTACAGAATTATCAGCGGAGGAGAAACAAAAGAATAAGGATGTGGCCACTCGTATTGTTCAAGAAGAGAAGCAACGTAAGACGGTCTTACCTCAATACCCTGGTTTAGAACGTTACGATATCACAGAAAAGATTGGCGAGTAAGTTTATATCTTATTATTCTTCACTTGTATACATACTCACATGAATTTTTTTGCTAGAGGCGCGTTTTCATATGTGTTTAAAGCCAGAGATACAATGACGGATAAGGAAGTAGCCATCAAAGTAGTCCGAAAGAGAGAATTGGATGCATCCGAGGTAAACAAGGATTTATTTACAATCTCTCTTACATATAAAAACTGACCTTTATATATATATATATATGTATATAGACTGGCAAATCGCATTTACATCCAAACATGAAGAAAAAGACAAAGGCTACAGAACGAGCCAATATTCTTAAGGAAGTACAAATCATGCGTAACATGCAGCACAAGAACATTGTCAAGCTTGTTCAGTTCTCCGAATCAGATGATTATTACTTTTTGGTGTTGGAATTATGTCAAGGTGGTGAACTCTTTCATCGTATTGTCGAATTAACCTATTTCAGTGAAGATCTTGCCAGGCATGTCATTGTTCAAGTCGCTGAAGGTATTCGTTATCTTCATGAAGAGTGTGGTGTTGTACACCGGTAAAACAAAACAAAAAAAGGCCGCTTACATGATATGACGTAATCCTTACTAAAACTATTCTCAATATGTAGTGATATAAAGCCCGAGAATATTCTCTTTGAACCCATTCCATGGACAAAGCGTACAGGTGTAGACAATCCCTTTGGCGATGAAGACAAAGTGGATGAAGGTGTGTTTATAGAAGGCACAGGGGGTGGTGGTATTGGTGTTGTCAAGCTTGCAGATTTCGGACTTTCCAAAGTGATTTGGGATAATTCTACACTCACACCTTGTGGTACCGTGGGTTATACCGCACCAGAAATCGTGCGCGATCAAAAATATTCCAAATCCGTTGATATGTGGGCCATTGGTTGTGTCTTGTATACCATTCTCTGTGGTTTCCCTCCATTTTACGATGAATCCATTCGTGCTTTAACTCATAAAGTAGCGCGTGGTGATTACACTTTCTTGAGTCCCTGGTGGGATCCTATTACACCTGCTGCTAAAGACCTCATTACCAATCTTCTCAACGTCGACCCTGAAAAACGTTACACCATCGAGGAATTCTTTCAACATCCTTGGGTTACCAAGTCACAATTTCCTCCTCCTCGTCCTGTGGTTGAAACAGAACAACAACATCAACCTGCTGAACTCAAAACAAAGTCCAATGATCCTCGTACATTGGCTATGAATAATGCTGCTGCTAAAGCCGCTGCTGCTCAACAAGAACAGAACAGACAGAGTCAAACGAACTATGCTCCTACCACGCCTAATGGTAAACCTGCCAAAAGAACAGATGTCTTTTCTCCCGGTATTACTTCCATCAAGGAAATTTTGGATATTACTTATGCCGTACAACGTATGGGAGAAGAAAAGAAGAACAAGCGTGCCAATACACCTGGTGGTACAGCGATGAATCAACCTCATCCTTTTGCTGGTGGTTATGACTCCATCTCGGAAGAAGATGATGAAGAAGAAGAGGAAGAGGATTCAGATACGAGTTCCAATAACGAACATCATCCTCATATCAATAATGGAATTCAAAGAGAGGTGATGGCTATGGCAGAACAAATGGTTCATGATGGTAAAGGAATTGCACCTGGTGCTTATACGGTAACAGCTGAACAATTGCAACAACAACAAAAGACCTTGGAAGCTCCTTTAGCTACACCCACTACAAGGAGAAGACGTAATTTGTTTGAATTGGATATGAACAATGCAACCTTGTTAAAGAATAGACGTGTCCACTTACATGATTAAAAAAAAAAAAACCCCTCCCTTTCCTCCCTTTTTTTATAATATTCCCCCTCAAAGCACTTTTCTCATCATTGTAAATGTCTCTCGCCCACACTTATTCATGTATAACCCATTTTTTAATAATAAATCCGTTTTCCAATTCTCTCTCTCTCTCTATTTATTATGCCATAAGAGTGTACGAAGTGAATTCCAATGGTCGGAATCACGATAAATATATTGCATGGAAGCACGAAGTGAAGGTTGAACCGTTTCCTGTTCATGTCGGAACAACCACTACAAAAAAAAAAAAAAAAAAAAATGTCAGTGACATGGGAATGAACTAGATTAAAAATTCACGTAGCAACGTACCATAACAAGACCCCAAACCACAGCAGCAAAGACTGGATATGTGTGTTGAGGAGCATCAATGATCTGTCTCTTGACGGGCACTTTGACCAATGCAAGTACCACACGCGAAAACAAGTATAAAATGATCTAAAAAAAAAAAAAAAAAAATTGCTTAATACTTATATAAAAAAATGCATATATATTGTTAAACAATTGTTTACCTGCTGGTTGATGCTGTTGTTCTCACCAAAAACATAGTAACCACCCACCACACCAGCAATAAAAGGATGGATACTAGCCTCTTTCCCACCATTGATTCTTTTCTGAACAATCATTAAGGTCTTATAGATGGTAGCAAAGATACCTAAATTCTGAGCATGTTGCTTAGTGGCCCTGAAAATGCCCTTCACTTTACTCTCCACACTTTATTTTTTTATTTGTTAATTATTTTTTTTTTTTCTGCTTTGTTTTTTTTTTGTACGACTAAAATCAATGTAAAACTTACGAGCCCGTCTTGAACAAGATGGTCATGACCAAGGCATGAGGAAAACGAACTTTAGCTCCATAAACAACACCGCTACGGAAACCTTTTACAATGGAGAGAAAGTCATGGTATTTAGGGTCAAGTGCTAATTGAGTAAGAAAGTCCTTCATTATCGTTTAGATGAGAATAATAAAAAAAAAAGGGAAAAAATATGTGCAAAAAAAAAAAAAAAATTGAGCCTAAGAAATGTGTGATTTTTTAATTTTTTTTTTTTTTCACATGTGAATAATGCGTGTGTAAGTGTATTTTTTACCTTTCTCTCTCTCTCACGGGACAAGGTTAAGCCAGTCATGCCAGGCCAGTCAGCCTGACAAGAAAGGGCGAGTGGACAATCGGAGTTTGAATAAACGATACTCCATTGTGTGGCTCTCCCTCTCTCTCTCAAAAATGAGAATTTTTTTCTTGTTTTTTTCTCTCTCTTGTTTTCTCTCTCTCTTTTTTTTTTCTCTCTCCTCTTCTTTTTTTTTTTGTATGAGTTCTTCTGATGACCCAAAAGTTATGTAAGAGCTATCAATATCAAGAAAGAGAAGAAGCCCCAACGGACGCACGCAATGAAGTAAGAGAGCATGAAGAAGCGAATGAAATGATGGGATTCATCATGTCCCTGTCAACCCAAGATGCTTTACGAAGAAGACCTTCCACAACAACCACTGCAGTTAGTGACACAGAAAGTGATTATTATTGGAGTGAAGACGAGTACGCTGTCATCAAGGCTTATTATGAAAATGAACAGGAAGATGAAGAAGAAGAATCAGAAACCAGAAATCTTATTCAGGCCTTGAAAGAACAACAACAACAACAGCAACATCATCATCATCTTCAAGCAGCCGCCAAACCCACTTCCACCTGAACAAAAAAAAAAAAAAAAAAAAAATTCATCTCTCCCCCTTTTACCCACCCAACCCCTTAAAACTCCCATATGTATATTTTTTTTTTTTTTTTTTTTTCATAAAACAAAAAAAAAATATACTAGTACAAAAAAAGAAAAGGATCGCCGCTTATCTCACTCTTTTTATAAAAACACTGGGCCTATTATTATTGTTTGATCATTATTAATTTTTTTTTTTTTTTTTTTTTTTTTTTCGGGTGCAGCCAAATGAAGAGTGTACCGTCACGAATCATTGGTCAGTTTAGTTTAGATTTATTAATAAAAATAGAAGAGAGTGTTTCATTCGGTACAAGTGAGATCTTCTTTTTTTGGGGGGTGACACGAGTATGACATTACACACATTTTGCACACCAATCCGCTAACACTGAACATCCTTCTTTCCACACTCTGTCATTGGGTGATAGCATGTTACAAATAATCCAAATATGGGGTGCCTTCTTCTTCACTACTTCCACTGAAACACCATCTCGCTTATAGACCTCAATCATCCTTTTCACATCATCCTGAAATACCTCAGTGCTACCATACGTTACAAGGGTAGGGCAAAGTCCAACAAATCTACCATACATGGGTGAAATACTAGCATCCCGTAATACCTTTTGTTTATCCATTTCCGTTGTACACTTTTTCATCACAGAACCATAATATTCTCCAAAATCCGTCCTATCAAACGTACGTCGGTTTAAACAATCTTCATACACTACACCATCGCGAATCGTTTCGCTCGTATCAATGTTCACCCAAGGTGAAATCTGTACGTTGCCTGCTGGTTGCTCTAACTGATCCGCTACTCCACTCTTGCGTATCTCGCTACAGCAATGTATCACGAGATTACCTCCCGCACTATCACCCACTATTTGTATTTGAAAATGAATAAAAAACCCCCAATCCCAAATCTTTTTTAAGTCCGTAACTTACTAAGGACGATACGTTTAGGGTCAATCTGCAGTTCTTTCACCAGGTACCGATAACCGTCCATACAGTCCTGCTTGGAACGATCGAATTGGACTTCAGGACAAAGCCCATAATCAATGGAAAAGATACGGGCATCCATTCCTTTTTCTTTCAAGTGATGAATGATTTTCATGAATGAATCTGTGTACATGAGCGAATGACCTACTCTAAACCCTCCACCTTAATATATAGGTGTAACAAGATGACCTCAATTAGGATAATTTAATCTGACATATATACATATAAACTTTACCGTGAATAAAATAAATAATTAAATCCGCTTCTTTGGCTGTATGCTCTACAGAAGAGGATGTAGCTTGAGGTGCAATCCAATGACCACTCCAGCCTTCTTTAGAGATTTTAGTGATGGCATCCCATTGAGCACCCCAAGGTCGAGTAGCAAGATACATGACCATTCGACTTTGCTTAAGAGGCATATTCATCACGGCTAATACAATCTTACAACGAAGACTGAGAGGAAGACAGAATAACAATTTGAGCTTGATATGTTTATGAAAAATTTCTGCACCTTTTTTTTTTAAAAAATGTAGGTGTCAGCGTCACTGTTCTTTATAATATTAATGGAGTGAGATGTATTACCTAAATTTCTGCCATTTTTGGTGGAAAGAAATGCACATAAAATACTGAATACCAAGGTCTTTGTACCTGGATGAAAGGATTCCATGTTATGGGGAGAAAGAGAGAGAGAAAAAAAAGAAGAATATGAGAAGAATATTTTATATATATATATTGTATTATTTCTCGTGGTACATACGTGGACAAAAAGGGCTATTCATTTTTTTTTTATATAGTTACCAAATTGGGTCGGAAGATATTTAACCTTCTTGTTAAAACAGAAACTCTCAAATAGACAATAACGAAAAACGAGGGTATCGTTAAAGATAAATGACACTACTGTATCAGAAATAGGTTTTATCTGGTTCTATTGGCTCAAAATAAAAAAAGTGAACACCCTCAAATAAACATCTTTTTATGCACCACAGTAGTGGTAAATCGAGCTGCAACGCATAATTTATGTGACTGTCCCTAGGTATGTAGATATATTTATATTACTTGACACAAAGCGCAGCAACTCGTCTCCCTCTCTCTCTCTCTTTCTCCCTCTCTCTCTCTTTATCCTTCATTTATACAAGCATGTCCTCAAAAACTGTTCCAAACGAAATACTAATTCAAGTGTTTCGCTTGCTACAGAGAAGAGATATCGAGTCATCCATGTATGTATGTAAACGGTGGTATAAAGTTGCAGTTCCATTCTATTTTCAAGATGTCCAGATCAGGGAAAACCCTATCAAAAACGATGCTATTTTTTCAAATGGACTTTGGACGCGAACACTCACTTTGCACAAGGCACGCCCAAATGAGATTGCTAAAGGATTAGAAGGCCTCATCTTTTTACGGTTATTATCACACCTTTTGAATTTGGAAAAGTTGGAGTTTCAATCTCGGTTTCTGTCCCGTCGCTATTTATCTATCTTGTCCCAAGTCAAACACACCAACATGTATTCACAACATATCAAGGAAATTGTTTTCTACTCAAACAATCCAACAGAACGTGTGTCCCACTTTCTTGCTTGTTATAACTTTCGGAAATCGATTACAAGACTCAGCACAAATGTAAGCAACCACGATCTATTATCAACCCAGTCAAAAGGCCTAAGCTATTACCTGCCCCAATTCGTATGCTTAACCCATTTGACTTACGACTGTCCAGAAAAAAATGATGTGACCTTGTTTGATATTTTACTTTGCTGCGAAAACATGGTAGATCTCAAATTCAGCAGTCGATATCCGATCCCTCCTCGAGCAAATAGTCAGATTGGTACAACAAGTAACAGACATCTGAAACGGTTGACATTATCTTTAGAAATTCATACACCTGTCTATATGAACTATATTCGAATTGTACAACCTTTGGATTACTTGCATTTAACTATCCTTGGCAATGAACGTGAATTCTTCTGGATGGTTGAACCATTCGCTGATATGCTCCAAAAATTCAAGGATTTACGTATCGATTTCAACGAAAATGATTCCTCAATACTACTCTCACCTACGAATTCCTTTTACAATGTCTTGTGTAAGCTGGAAGGAAAACGAGACGCACAGTGTCATGTCACCTTTTATCCTCCTGAAGGTCCTGTAGGCGAGAGGATCACTGCCTGTGGAGATAAAGTAAACTATAGCGCTTCGATGGAACTATTTGACGGTAGATATTTTGCCGAGATATTTAGTTTTATAGACCGAGAAGGGATTGTGACAAGCCTAGCGTTCAAACAATACCAATTGTCCATCTCAGACTTACTCTATTTCTCGAATATACTGACCTATGCCAAAACTTTCCCTCGACTCGAGACACTTTCTATGGATGTGGGATTTCTTCAATTGAAGGCAAATCGAACAGAAATAAGAATCAACTGTCCAACCCCTTGGCAGGATCTGTTTAATACACTCTACGATTATTTACCTCAAGCTGAAACAATTACTTGTACCCAAGAGAATACCTTTCGCGGCACCGATCATAAATACATATGGGACCTCTCCGCTTTCAAAAATCTCAAATCCTTCAATTTCAGAGTGAGTCGCAGAACCTTTCAAGAGACCACCTATGTGTTACTCAATTTCGACTATCAACGTTCTCATTGTGGCAAGAAAATGTATCTGGACCGGACCTCCAAAGAAATTAGTTCAATGCTAGTAAGGGCCAATCCTCGCTTGGTACATAATAAACGACGTACTGTAAGTGTTACTATCAAGGTTCATAGTCCCTCGGTCGAAATAAATTGTGATCCACATAATTTATACAGAATCGAACCTGTAGAATACTCTACTTAATAAAACAATTAACTTGCTGAATGTGATTTTTTATTCTTTTAATCAATGCTTTCCACTTTTTTTTTATTTAAGCTGTTTCCTAAAAAAGCTCCTCCGTTTCATTCTTGAGATTAAGTCTGATCATGCTTTTCTTATGGATAATCAAAGTGCACGTGATTATAATGTTAGATCAAGTGTATTGGCTGTCCTCAAGACTTGAAAACAAGAATAAATACAAACATTATAACAAAGTACCAGTTTACGAATAATGTATTGTAGTAAAACGATTTATACTTCACTGACTACTCAATTGTTACTCTTTCACTCTTGTGCTCATTTGATCTTGATCTCGGGTAAAGTCCAAACGAGACGTTGAAAATAAGCTCTGATGGACATTATTATCGTATATTTATTGTACTTTAGTTAAAGGTGACCTCCTTTGGTGTCAATTGTATGAATCGAGTCCTACCTTACGACTACGCACACACTGACTGCATTCAAGGAATATGTTTCTAGCCAGGAAAAATAGTGTCCTCCCCCCCCCCCTCCTCTCGCTTTTTTCTTCTTCTTTCCATTAAGTCTGATTCGTGGTGTACTGTGATAATTATTAGATTATGCTTTGTATGTCACACAGAGATATGGCTGTCTAAATCTTTTATGATTGCAGCAGGGCATGTTCGAATTTGAAGTTCATACTCTGTGAGAAGTAGCAAAGAGTATTCTTTTTCTATTCCCTTTATTACAGACATTATGTCTCTCTGTCTATGACTAAAGGTTATATAATGATAAAAATATTTTACTGTCGTATCCTTATCTGAAATAGTATTATGAGTATTTTATTATGCAATTGTGTATATTTATTATTGGCTGTAGCCGTTATTAAATATGTAGTTTTTGTAGTTATATATTATGTGTGTTTTACCACTCAAGCAAATAGAAATTAGTGCGTTCATTCTTCCTCTTCGGACTCACTTCCAATGTTATTGCTGCTATTGTTATCATCTTCATTCCACGTGACAGCAGAAATATATTCATCCACTACTGATTTTGGCTTGTAATGGACACGCTCATTTCGGATATTGTCTATTTTGTCCGTGGTGTCGTTTGTACAGTCGTTGTATATATCTTCAATGTCAAGTAGCAAATTCTAAACAACGTAAAAAAGTAAAGGTCATTAACCAGGTACATTACAGTTTCAACTTTGTGCTTTACTAATTTACCTCAAGTAACAAGAGTCCAGCCATCAAATCTTGTATACCTCCTTCTTTGATCTGCTTTATCGTTTTCGGATATTTAAAGCTGTAGATTTCTTGGGAAGAGTATACGTTTTTATCTATAAGATTCAGAATTGAAACCTGACAATTCATGCCCATCATGCGAATGATAGGCAGCTTGATTTTGTAAATTCCACTTGCAGAAATATATGCCGCAAAAGACAATAAATGTTTCAATAAATGTTGCTTTAAAGATACAGGCAAAAATTTAAAGCACCATCGTAATATTTGCCTTTCTGTAGCATAACGAACGGATGCAAAGGCGCCACTCAAGACATCGATGTCATTATCATTTTTTTCAGAAATAATAATGACATCCAACTTGAAGTAACGTCTCGTGGATTAGCAACCCAACGAAACGGTGCCATGGCTGTGAATACACTGTAAATGGCTGTGAATACACTGTAAATGGCTACCACCCCTAGATAGAAAAAAAAAAAAACTGGTGTTAACTTCGAGATTTATCAACATTTCCATTCAATTTACTTACCATTGGGGAAATAGTGTATAATCTGGACGATTAAAGTAATATTCAAACACATTTCCCCAAAAACGCATAAGGCGAGTTTGCTCAGAGCACTTGTTTAAATAAGTGTCTTGTAATTCTAGTCGGATTATACACGATAGGGTACAAACTAAACAAAAATTTGTTAGTTCATTCTTTAATTAGAGTTTGTTCAGCTTACATGTAGGTGAAGATCTTCTTTAATACGATCTCTTCTTCATTGATTGGTTGATGTACGTCTATTTCTTGATACTTGTTTGTTAATAACTTGATGCCATCGACCTAAGATAATACATGAAAAATAGTGTTAATATGGGGTTCAAACCGAATGTTTCCCTTTCATTTTTTCTCGGAATATTATTCTTCCCACCAATAAAAATCACGCATGATTTTTAAAAAAAAATGGTGGACCAAATGATGTCCTTCCAAAAAGAAAAGCTTACTTTTTTAAGGATAGGACCTGACGGGATCATTATTCTTAAATTTGCTGATATCCTACGATAATTTTGGACGACCAGCAAGTCAATTTGACTTCCTCGCTTTGTATTGGTTAAGTCTATAATTGAATTTTTGCAAAGACTACGAAAAAATAAAACTGAATTAAAAAAGAAATAAACACGTCCCTAACCAAAACTTACTAATAAAAGTAACCCGACTTTTTATCCTTGACCTCGATTTTCTTAGCAAGCTCATACAAGTTTGATCCTAGAGTACCGCGTAAACCTTTGACATGTATCTTGTCCCGGGCAGACAGCTGATAAAAGTGTAATTAGTATCAGCTGCGTATTTATGTTGTGCTATGTTTATACCTCGATGGCCTTCTTAACTTCATGGGAAATGGCTCTTTGGGAGGATCTTTTCCCATTTGGGTTCTATTAGACTTTTAGTAAAGTGGACCTTTCTTCATAATTAAATAGCTACACTCACATTCAGACTCTAATTAATTCAAGTTTAAAAGACTTTTAAAAAACGTATTCTTTTTTTTAAAATTTGTAATTAAATGTTTTAGCATTCAAAAACTAACCTGGTTAACCTCTTTCAGGGAGATGTTTAGACCTCCCTGAATTTTCAAAGGTCTTTTTTAAAGACTACGCGATTGTTATCGCGTTGTCCGACCAAAGACAGTGTTCACACCTATATCCTTTTTAATTTTTCTACGGTCTCTTTTAAAGAAATTATATGACTTACAACACTCTTGGCCAAGACCGGCAGGCCAGTCTGGGCACAACCATTTACAGCACACTCATCAACTGAGTATCTAAACCTCTAGAACCCAGCCAAGGAGATCGCCATCCTATAGCAAAGACTAGCCGTAGCCGTAATATTGCAAGAATCGCAATGTATCTTTCTCTTAAAAAAAAGAGAGAACAAATAATTTAGTGTTTCTTGAAAAAACAAAAGTCATTATAAACTAACCTTTTAATCATATCAATTGCTTTCATTTATAAAAAGAGAGAGAGAGAAAAGTAAGTATGTTAAGGAAAAGAAAAAGGAGAAAAAAAAGTGTGTGAACGAGAGTTTATAAACAAAAACTGGATTATGTTAGGATGAAACAATTGATTATTTAATCACTCATTTATACTGTTTGAGCCTTTACTAATAATGGAAACATCTGCAAGTAGCCCCAAACATTTATAGAATTAGTTCTAGACCTTTCAATAATCAGTAGTAGCATGTATAAATAGTGATCATATCTTATGAAAAATCAAATAGATCATTCCGTGAATCTTGAAAATAAGTTAAAATGATATGGGACGTAAAGTTTTTTTAGACCAACATAAAGACTTTACCCAAAAAGTATGTAAGGAAAGAAGATCCTGTGACTATAAAAAAGACGCAGAGAATATAAAATAAGCTTGATAGATACCGAGTCAGAAGGGTTAGGTGTACCTTAGCTTATGTGATTAACTTCTTGAAGAAGAATAAGGACAATGTCAATTAATAGAAAATTATTATAGTCAGTATAAAAGTGTACACGATTATACTATTTTACGGATTATCTAAAATACAAGAGGACTTTGCTTCATCCTTTGATTATTTGTCACTCGGCAAGCTTTCATTTTCAAGTAGTTCAAGTTAAGAAATGAGCCATTCAGAACAGGTGTAATAAACTACATGCACCCTATTATGGACAAGAGCGGACAAATAATGTGCCGTTAGTCACTTGTCAGATCAGGATTTTATCTACTATGGAAACTAAACAAGGTGTGAAAAGACATCTCGAATAAATTATTTAAATCATTTCAACCATATATGAGACTACTACTATTTATCTAAATCTGATGCGTGTAATTTTTCTTGACAACTCTTGTGAATCTCGGACAAACAACATGCCGTGCAAGGTCGGCGCTCAATCCGCTTGATCGAAAAAAAAAAGCGATCCAAATTATTCGATCCACAAAAAAAAAAGTGTATATAAAAAGGGGAGGGGAAGATGATGAAAACTATTTCAGATTTAAAATCAAAAAACTACTTCAGATGTCCAACAAGATCATTATTGTCGGCGCAGGTCTTTCTGGTCTCACACTTGCAAACTCACTCAAGAAACAAGGCATCCCTTTTGAAATTTATGAACGTGAAGCAAGTTTTGATGCTCGCGCACAGGGCTGGTCTATCTCAATTCATTTTGCCTTGGAAGCCTTGAAACAATGCGTCCCCGAGAAAGAATTTGAAAACTTTTCTCAAAAGGTGTCTGTCAACCAAGAAAGTAAAGACGGTGGTATGTCCTTTAGTTTCATTCACGCAAACACAGGCGCAGTGGGTATGTCCAACACTTCTAAGCCCGGTACGTCCTATCGTGTTCATCGGTCTCGTTTCAGAAATTGGCTGTTAAGTCAAGTCCAGGAACACGTCCATTGGAACAAGAAGGTGGATCATTACCAAGAAGATTCGAATGAAGTGACTGTATTCTTTCAAGATGGTACTCAGGCAACTGGCAGCATACTTGTAGGCGCTGATGGTGTCATGTCTCCTATTGCCCGCCAATTATTAGGCCCCGAGAAATTTGATGAATTAACAAACATTCTTGATGTACGTGCATTTGGCGTCTTGCGATGGGCTACGGAAGAAGAATGGAACAAGATCTCCAAGGAGCCTACTCATCTCTGTGTGCTTAACGGTCAACAAATGGAGGATGATGACATCAAACACAAGACATTTAATATGTTTTGTTCTATTCATGATATCGATCGATCGCGTGCTGACACACCTTATCAAGTGTTTTGGTCACTCTCCAGATACGACCCTGAAGGCGTTATCCCCAAATTTGAAGATGATAACACAGCTTGTTTGGAGCTGATGAAGGCTTGGGCTCGAAATGGATTCCCTGCTGATTCTCCGTTTAGGCAATTAATTTTAGACACACCGCAAGATACAAAGGTAACCCCGCTTGTCATTCGTGAAAGAAGTCCTACTGCTGAGCTGACCGCTGCGCATCGCGTTGTATTGATTGGCGACTCTGCTCACCCCATGACGATGTTTAAGGGAGAAGGTAAAATAAGATTATAGTTTTTAAATATTAAAAAATTGATGATATTAACGGTATTTTAGGCGGTAACCATGCTATTGTAGATGCAGCTAAATTAGCCGTACAACTCGGGGAATATTATCATAACACAAAGTCTAATGAAAAAGCTCTCTCAGACTACTACGAAGAAATGATTCCTAGAGGTCAGAAGGCTGTAAAAGAGTCTCACGATGCTGCCATGATGGTTCACTGTAACCCAGAGATTATGACGAAAATGTTTAAAACTGCGTAAATGTTACACGACAGGCTAAGTAAAACAGAGTCTATCATCATGTTTCGGCGGAATAAATTTTTTTTTAAAGTTCTTTATTAATTGGGGAAAGGGAAATAGAAAGGGGATATTGTACAAGAGGGAAATAAATATAAAGAAATAAGAAAGGGATTACCAGTTTGTCTTTTTGTTATGCATTGAGTCTAAAAACTTAAAGATTGTACCGGGAGTGGCAGACCATTTGTCTCTCCAGTGATATGCAAATGTTTGTCGCACTCGTTTTTCATCAAAATTAGAGTTTGAAAATAAGCTTGGTAAAGAGTTTGATCTTTTACATTGTGATGGATCAGTAAAACACCAAGGGAGGATAGACCAAGGCTTAATTCCATGATGCAACACTCTTCTATAAATTCTATAATATAACTTGGATCCAAAGATTTCAGGACCCTTGACCAAATAACGCTTCTGTATGGATGTCTCTCCATTTTCTTGTTGTATTCTAGCTTTAAATAAATCAGTGGCGCCTTCTAATATTTCACAAACATATGGTGATTGCTTGTTGAAATGAAACAATGCACCGGTAAAAGGGTTTCCAAACATCCCAGTCGAACAGCTACCTTGAGCAATCCATTCATGCTCAAATAAGGGTGATAAGTCTCTAACAAACATTGTGTCCAAATCAAACCAGACTCCACCATAGCGGTAGAGAACAAGCATCCTCAATAAATCGTCTTTTCCTTTACCGTCGTTTCCTTGCTCAACAAGAGATCTCCAGGTATCCACAAACTCTTCTAAAGGTGTATCTTTTGTCAATTCTTTGGGTTTGACAAGTTTATAAGTAATTCGAGATTTATCTTGCTGGGCATTGCTAAGGTATTTCCAAGACTCTGAAGATGTTAATTCGTGTTCATCTTGTTCCGGGATCCAAACGATTAATGAGTGGTTGGAATTCTGTGTTGCCGAGAAAGAACGTAGAGTTGCTACTTGCTTTTCCTCAAATGTGTCGGTCAAGTTGGAAGACCAATATGTATGAAATGTTTTTTGACCTTCATGAGGGTATCTTTGTGGTTTAAATAAAGCGGCAAAATCATAACAAGTATGTGCTTCCCAAACGGGCAAGCCAGGAACAAAATTAGCACTGAATTTTTGATTTCCTTGGTGGTAAGGGCTGTCTAGAGGTAGGTTATCAAAGCATTTGGAAAGTGGCTCAACTACGAGTGGCTGTGGTGGTGAGAACCAGCTTCGAACATACACATGGGCATTCACTTCTAATCTACACAATCCAAAGAAAGTGATGCCGGCAAGGATGGCGGTAATAATAGCCAGCTTTATCAAATTGATAACCAGTCGCTTGTTCTTCTTGACCCAATTACTGCTTTGTTTCACTGTCTGCTTTATTACTTGAGACCATGGCATGACTAATGAAGAGAATATAAAGGAGTGAAAAAGTTAAAAAGAAAACGAAAATTTTAGAAAAAAAATGATCCCTCTCTTAAAATATAAATAATTACCTAATGTAGACCAATGAGATAATTGGGAAAATAAAAAAGAGAACTATTTGACGTAATTCCCAGATCCCGTTCAACGAAATGTCTCTCAATCGAAAAACTTGGCTAATCGCTGCTCGAACTAAAAAGAATCTGGGGAATCCAAATAGATTCATTATCATGAGCCAATCGAATTGTGGCTGGAAACAGTAAATGTGTGTGTCTGCATCAACTAAACAAACAATGGAGAAACATCATTATATAGTGCAAGTCTTTCATTTTTTTTTTTCGATAATTATATATTTTCATTATGTATACTTTTGCACAAAGAATACATACTATGCACAGAATCCAAACATGGATTACCGCTCGATCCCTTAAAGTCATTTGACTGGCTGAGTTATGTTTATCTCAATCTAGGAAAAGTGATCAAAATAATGAGCCGCAATATTACTTTCCTGTTGGTTTTGGGCAAAGCAAGTTCATATCCACAGTGCATAGCTAACACTTCCAATGCCAAAAATGACTGCGTTACTCCACTTTCTAACCCAGCAAAAAAAGCACATTACCGCCTTGGTTTTGCCACTTCAGGATTTGCAAAATAGCTTATATTCTAAATCGTCACCAATATATCAGACAGTAAACTATTTCGAAATTGAAACCGGACCCTTTAATACTGCTGTTGCATGTCAATATAAATGCATGATAACATTTTGGACGATAAAACCTCTCAGAGGATGGTATCAGCTTTCAACGACGCTATATAATTGGGAAGAAGGCACCGTCTGTGTAACATCTATGCAAGTGGCAGAAATGGTCACCTTTTGAGAAGGGTCTATTTTATAGATTTGGATTCTATTCAACATTACAAATTTCCCTTTATCGTCGTAAGCTTTAAGTTACCCTTGTGAAACTAATACCCTCCTTTACTAAACTATCAACCAACGTTTTATGTATTGACAATCTAAATGAAAAAGTGATGAACCAGTTACCTTGGTTACTCTAGTGGATTTAACTTCCGCAGTTCACCATTTTTTGTATTATTGCTTCGAAGCTCTATCGAGGCATCTACAAAAAAGAATATAATTAAAACAAATTTACTTTATAGCAAACATTGAATCAATGTGAATACAAATGAATTATCTATGTAAAGATATTTGAATTGAGAGTTTCTTTTACCCAAAAAGGATTAATGTCTAATTTGTGACTGAAAATTAGCTATGCTAGTGACTTCTTTTTACGACTTTTATTAAACGGTCCAAAAATTTATTGGTAAAAAAATTTCTCCAGGGTATAAAAAAGAATGGTTTAGGAAAATTTGTTTTGTTTTTCTTTATAGCAACAGAGAAGATCTGCACTTGACGTTAATTATTTCTACATACTAGAATGTTTCATCATTCAATACAATTTTTACGTTAGGGAAGGTCTCCAGACTTAGTGGTGCTTTTTAAGTGCTGTACCTGTAGTGGGTATAAAATTAAGTTACCTTTGGTAGCTTGCTATTTCCATCCTCTGGGTTAAACAAAGTTTTGAGTTTCGGAGGCTCTGGAAGTATGCTACATTACTGGTCATAGTAACAGTTATTGCGGATACTATTTTTTCGTTCTTTATTGAACGGAAGGTAGTTAACAGAATGGAGACTACTCTCTCAAGTTGCCATCCCTTTTTTTAAAATTAATGAAAATGAAAAATTAAATAACATAGTCAGCAGGGGGGGGGGGGGTTGTGGAATGTTGGACTGCTTAGCCTTTGACGTTATATACCACTTCGATATAATGGCTTGGTTGGTGGATGGAAGGATTTTGCGAAGTGTATTTGCTAGTGCTGGTCACTTGCAAGTATCTAGCGAAAGCCCTCGTGTTTTTTTGAAGGTCCCTTTGATTATTTAAAAGCAATCAAACTTCATAGTTTGACGATGGCTTAGACTATATTGATTACAGTATTAGCACTTTAAATTCAGACAAGGGAAACTTATTTTCAGATAAACCTAAAAATGTTTTCAGATGAACAAAAATATATTTCAGACAGCAGTACAAAAAAAATTCAGACAGACGTAAATATATATATATATTCAGATAGAATAAGAGAAAGACTCAATCGATCTAAACATCTACCTTCGCTATGACAAAATTGAATATGAGAAAATTACTTATAATTATACGTTAACGAGATTTTTTCTGTTTATTTTATTTTACGATCATACACGAGTAAGAATCTCGAACCTGAGGGCTGAAAACAAAGATAGTCTGTTTTCTACAAGCTTTAAACATACTGTCACATTATAAATCTTATGAGGCATCAATGTTAGATAATGTTTAAATGCCCAGTCTTTCCAAAAAACATGTTGCCTACTATTTACAAACACTTTAACCCAATTTTTGGTCAAAACAATTATAATTCTCTTATACAAGTATCTTAGGAAGATATTTATGGAACATATAAATGTTCAATAGGAACATCTCTACTCCTTTCATTACAGTCAACATTATTTGATTGCGCCAATAAAAAAAATTGCAGGACACAAACAAAGGTGATGTAGGTCAGCATTGCAATTTAAAAAATTTATCAGGTTTAAGCTTTGTGGCACGTTGTTTTGAACTTGATTGAAAAAAAAGTTGTCTTGAACTCATTTTACTTCTTTTTCAATTAACTAATGCCACGTACACCTATTTACCCCGAGGTGGAGAAGTTTATTATCCTCAAGAAACGTGCAAAGCTGGAAAAGGTCAAATCTGATAGTGCGAAGGAAAGCTCAACCACTCAAACCCCCAAGAGAACATGTAAGAGAAAAGAAACATTTTATGCATTTCCAATGTATCACAAGCTTATTTTTGTATATAAAGCTATCAAGAGAAAAGACTCTCCTAATATAATAATTGCAAAAAGGAGTACAAAGATAAGTCGCCAAGCTAGCACTTCAGCAGCATCATCCTCCAGTAGTAAATGTAGCTCATGCCAAGAGGAGGGTCACAATTCTGCGCGAAGTCGTCAATGCAAAAACTATAATCTAAATATATCAGAACTTTTACAAATCAAACTTGGACCAAACTATCAAAGATATACTCTGTCTGTTCCATTTGATACTTTCTGCAATAATACTCAAAACAAAACCAGCTCATTAAAAAAGATCAAAGACATATCAAGTTTTATCCGTGAAGTCTTATTCAAAGCCCAACTATTTGTTAACTTTTTTATTCTGCAACACCCAACCAAGTTGACAAATGACTTCTTTGAACAAAATTTTTGGTATACTATTACAAGGGTCATTAGGGGTAGCTCAAATGAAGTAAGGCCAATTCTACAGGCGTACAAAGACAAGAAAAAGGAACGACCTGCAGGTCAGAATTTAGATGTGGCTCAACTTACAAGCTCTTTCGCTGAACTATCCGCCACTATGAATGGTAACTTGTTTGTTCCGGAAAATGGATTAAAAAATTATGGACAATCTCTATCAACTGCATGCGAGACTGTCGCAACAACGTACAATAATTATTATATTGAAAACTTTGAAAATATCATATGTAATTACTTTATCTATGCATTAAAGATAAAATATGCGGTAAGTACGAGATATATAAAAAAAAAACGCCTCAATATATATGCAGTTTCTCAATTTATTTTACTAAATTTAAATAAACTAGAATGAGAAAGTCGGCTGTATCAAGAAATTAGTGTATAATCATGTATATGATCAAGTATTTACACATCCCCAGCTATCTTCTATACCTGCTGATATTCTCGCCTTTTTTGATCCGGATGTGGGTAACAATCTCACAAGTTTTCTAAATCCTTTGATTTTAGAGGTGAAGAATCGCATTTCTACGCTACCGCTATCTAAAGAAAGCTTGAACAATGAACCCTTCAAGATTTTACCGGCTTTACGGTATATCCTTGAAAAATACGATGGTATATACAACTCCCAAGCTACTCAAAATGACAAAATTGATTCGATGAAGTCTCCACTTCCAAGACGTTTTAGTCTATTTCCAAATCCTTCATTACACTGGCGGTTCATAAAGATTGATTCCCAGAACCTAAGTGGAATTTTTCCAGATGCTAAGCAGAATAAGCAACCTAATGAATCCTCTTTCGATCATCAACAAAGATGCTTCTATCAAATGTTTGACTTTAAGAGGCTGGGTATTCAGAAGTATGCCCTACTATTACATATATCTATGAATCGAACTAGCAACTAATATATAAATATAGCTATGAAAATCTTCAAGCATTGCCTGAGCAAAAAGAAAAAATGTTTCTCAACGGAATATATACTGATGGCTACACTTGCAGAGTTCTTTTTGCTAGAAAAGTTCTTCCATCCTCACCAGAAGAGAACATCCGTCTAGAGTTACATGATCTTTCAAGCGAAGAGGTCAACAAGCACTTTCATCCGTGTACTGTAGATCCAGGAAGACGGGACCCGTTTGTCTCTTATCACGGTGGTAGTGACATACGCCGATTGTCCTCATCTGAGTATTACAATATGGGTGGAAATGTAACACGAATGAAAGAGCAACAGAAGCACAAACATAGACTGGGTATTGAAAAAATTGAAACAGACATTCCTTCACCTAAAACTGCGTCTGTGGAGCAATTTGTTTTGTATATAACTTATATGTCGCAGCATATGAATACTTTATTTGATTTCTACGACTTTGAAACTGCCAAAGTTAAGTGGTTGAACTACCTAAGTTCCCAAAAAGTCATTCAAGAAAGTGTTAATATTTTGATAAATGGGGGGAAAAAGTATAATAAAGACAAGAGAAAAAAAACAAGGAAGAACAGAAAAAGAAGAAAAAAAAATCGCAGACCTCGTACTAATCCTAAAGAAAGAATACTCATCACTACGCCTAAATCAAAAAGGTACATATGCACTTTTCTTTTGTCATCATAAATTCAGTAAACTCTAACTATTATATTTGTAACTTGCAGCAAAAAAAATAAAGCATGTTTTGAAGTGGGAAACAACAACAAGATGCCTCTGGTTATCTTTGGTGACGGACTGAAAAACAAAGATCATGTCAAGTTTAAAGGTCTGCGACATGGAATATCTAACAAGATATATAGTCAGTTAAAAATAAGAGAAAGGATTGGAGAACTATTGCTTGTAGATATCAATGAGTTTAAGACATCGAAGGTTAGTAGGAAAAACGACACATAATTTACGTATTGTGCTTTCAGCTGAAATCGATTTTCCATAGATCTGCAACTGCTGTCTCCAACCCAATTTAGAAAATCTCAAAGTTAGTCAAGATGACCATACAAAAAAGATTCATCAAGTATTGAAGTGCATAACTTGCAATATTTATTGGAATCGAGATGTGATGGCAAGCAAGAACATGTTCACCATTGCCCATTCTATTTGGAATGGTAATGACCGCCCCACTGTCTTCAAACGACAAACCGCCACCTCCAATGTGGTTGCCTCAGCTTACTCCGGTGAGTCGACGGCTTAAAGATTTTACAGGTAAACCTTAGAGTAACTTAACAAATTATCCGAAAACTAAATTTCATTTGTCTGATTATTTATTTATTTTGTCCAAAAAAGGTAAGTCAATGTCTGAAAGTAAATTTTGATTCGTCTGAAAAAAAATTAACATTTTCTGAATTAAAAGTGTGAAAACTGTAAGTTCTGTCTTTTTAACACCCGTGTCATTTCATAACTTTGTGCTTACGTAAGCTTGTCTTGAAATATGTCCGTAAGTATAATCGGTCTGTGGTAGAGAAACAAGCACGTAAACATGGTATAAGAAGCATTTCATAAAAAAGTACGTAAACATAACATTTGAAGCGTTTTATGAAAAAGCATGCCTTTTCCTGTATTGACGAATGTACAGACATTAATGTTATATTGAAACCAAGAGATCAACTACAATAAAATAGACGGAAAATTTGGTTAGGTAAACCAAGGGCTCTAGAAATGAGGGTACAATGCTTTATTTTAGAGAATGTAAAGAGTGGGGGATATGATTTGAGATGCAAAAGTATACATGTATATACAAGTGGGATGGAGGAGAAGAGTAATAGATGCTGGTAATTGGAATGTGCAATAATTAAGAATGTGTGCGGTGTGTCTTTAAACTACATCAACATCTGTTGACTCGTCGATGTTTTTAATGGTAGATTTTGTTTGACCTAATAACACCGCTAGACGATCTCTTGAAAGTACAAATGGAGTCCAAGTCAACTTGTCAGGATCTACACGCGAATAGTTCTTTTTTTCAATATTACTGAGATGCGCTTTGATAGTTTTAACGTCCAAAATCAATGAGTATTGTGCGGTCACTTTATCGTATTTGATCATGTTGTTTGTTTGTAATGTGGAGATAATGTCGTCTGGAGTCAAACTTGTCCTATTGCTTAATTCTACAATCCGTTTAGCTTAAAGACACTACCTCTCTTTTCTTTCAATAGTACACCTTACCTTCTATACTAATAGGACTTTCTTGATTCTCTAGTTCACGGTATAAGACATTTTTCCAATAGCTTCGATAACTAAGTAAACCCAGATCTGATAATGGTCTTTCGGGTGAGCCAGTTTTGCTTTCCTTTTTGGACAATAAATAACTGAAATCTATTAAGAATTGGCCATAGCCCTTTCTTTGATATATCGGCATTGTCAAAATACATGATACGTTGTAATTCATAGCAGAACGTTTTTCCTGTATAGAAAAGGTTAGTATTGTAAAATGACAAAAATGTCTGTGTACACTACCTTTGAAAAATATCCTACAAAGTGACATCCACGATCATCTACTTCAGTCATAATATAGAATAAAAATGGTTCCACGTCGTAATAAAGAGTTTTGTGGTCCAGAAACATTTTTGCCAATAAACATAAATTTTGACAGTAAATTTTGTTTTTTTCTGCCATCGACTTCGAATATTGAAATGTTACCATCTCTGTAGATTTCATCACCAGGAGGATACTGTGCTTTACATTTAAGTTGATGTCGATCTGATATATACTGGCTTTTCATGTATTTCATACAGAACTCACATATGTAGAGAGTTGGATTTTGGCTGTATTCTTCGGGATATGGCGCAACATACCAGGTGTCGATCAAATAATGATTAAATGCAATTTGTGTAATTTTTGGGATTTCAGTGATAGATGCAGGTGTCAATGGCGCTGATTTGCTCTTTGCCTTTTCAAATTTGATTTTGTCCGACTCATTTGGTGTGCCGCGTTTTGTGTCAGCTTCGGATTTTGATAATTTATTACCGAAAGTCTTAAAAAATTCCTCTTCGTCCTCTCCATCAGATAAAGAGCCTTTTGGTCTCCCTCTTTTACGTTTAATCAGAATAGGATCAGTGACTGTCATGCGTATTTTTTTTATGGTGGGTGACTGATCCTTATTTTCATCCTGTGCGGTATGGTTATTCGATTTTCGTTTGCTACTTGTTGATGTTGATGTTTTTGTTGATGTTGTCGATGATGATGTTGTTAATTTTGTTGTTGTTGCTGCTGCTGCTGGTACCGATGATGATTTATGCTGTCTAGTCATTTTGGCGCTTTCAATGAACTTTGCGGTATGGGTTGGGGATCTTCTAAGGCTGTAATTGTTTGTCGTGTCGACTAATGATATTAATTTAGGTGAAGGTAAAGAAGAAGGCGGTGAGGGCATACTGGAGCAAAGGTTGCAATACCAATTATCTAAAACATTTGAGGAGGTTTCAGTAAGATCAAAAAGAAACCTGTCAAATAACGTATTACCTTCGGGTACTTTTTTCAAAGGTGGATCAATGCAAAATGTATGAAATCCTCTGTCGCAGTGATTACAAAACACAATTTTGTCCTATTCAAAAATAATAATAATATAGGAAAATTAGTAAAAGGGAAGGAGAAAAAATAAAATTTGTCATACCTCGTCATTCTTTGATTGACAAACAAGGCAACTTTTACAGTCGTTACATTGCCAATCATATGTCTGCACGATTTCTGCTGAAGTTTTTTCAAATCCTGAACATAAAGTATGGGCTATATTAAGGAAAGAAAAAGGATGAATATGATGTCTACTTGTAAGTGCTATTGTATTTTTCCTACCGACCGTTTCGATGACAATCAAAGCACTTTAACAGTTCATGTTTTCTTCCTTCAGTATCAAAGTCATAGACCCCATCACAATAAAAACACATGCCTAAAGTATACTATTGCATCGTATAACTAGTTAATATAAATCAACTTAAATCTAGACATTTTCATAAATCATTCTTACGTCAACTTGAGGACGCTGGCGTTTGCTCATTGTTGTCTTCAGATCATTTGTCGCCATCGATCAGACCTAACCTTTGTGGTATTTGTAGAAAAGAGAGAAGGGTATACCACCCCTCCCTTTTCCCAATGGATTAAAAACGGGAAGTCACACCAATCATCTCCGGTGTAACATATGGCGAACCATGGCTTATATCTTGACAAATGAACTCACTGAAAAATTTAACTTTATTTATAAATATATCTTTTTTTAAAACAGCTAATCCTAGTAAAATCTAGTTGGTTTTATCTTGTGTCTCTTGAGGTTCACCATATTTGTACATTAAACCGATTCTTTACAACTAGTCTATTTCCTGCCTTGGCTGTAATTCACGGGGTAAGAATAGCCAACCACCGACCATCGATAGAGTCTCATCAGGTTTAATCCGGCCGAAAAAGAAAGAGTCATGAAGCAACGACTTCCCCCACAATAATGTGGAGGAGCATTGTTTATCTTCTCATGTCAGCCACCCGCTATATATCACCAAAGTTGTACACAAACACCTTGCCAAACAGCCCTCCCGCCTGGCTGTAACGTATACATGGCGGATCATCATTAGAATTTCCTACCACTTAAACGTATTTCTTGCAGCAGGACCCTTGAGCGCCGATAAAGTTTATCAGGCTTGATCCCACTGAAAAAGAAGAGAACATGGAATTGTTAATGTGGAGAAGCATTGTTTAGTTTTTTATAGTTGTAATTAAGAACAATAATAGTAAGAAAAAGATTAAAATTGGTGCCTTTTATATTTCATTGGCGATAACAATCACCCAAATATTCGTACCTGCGTATGTAAAGTTGTCACTGATACGCCATGCTTTTAAATATGGTGGGGTCGATTATAGTATCATTGTGGTTCTTTGTGTCTCATAAAATCATAAAATAAAGAAATAATATACAACATAAAAATAGACATAAAGTCATTGTAAAACAAACACACAAGTGGTTTATTAAAAGCTTGTCTGCTTACTTTTTAACATACTCAATTATATAATAGGTTTCTTCAACATTATCACCAATAGTTTCCTTTCCAGTGACCTTAATTTGTGCATCATAGTGGTGTTTGGCCCCAATTTCTTTCAACATATCAATATTAGCATAACAGCATGAACCCAATAATAAAGATCCGTTTTCTGTAAGATGATTGCCACCCTCAGCAATATATCTCTCCACCAGCTTGTATCCAGGATCAAATGTCTTTTCATTGCCACGGATGATTCCAGAATACAGTATCAAACTTTTTTGATCCTAAAGCAGCGAATAATCACTTACTTCAAAGTGTCCTTTCTGATGATTAATTTCAAAATTCTTTTTTGTGGTTTCAACAGCATCAGGGTTAATATCAACACCAGTAACTTCTAACCCAAGTCGAGCCATATAGAGCGAAATAATTCCAGATCCAAGACCAACTTCCAGAAAAGTCTTTGTCCCTTCAACGACACTACGCAAGTTTTTCCCAAACCATTTTGACTCTGGAAAATATTTAGGAGAGTACACATTTGGATGAAGATAGATAGTCATATCCTCAATCTGACAAGTGTTGTCGGCAACGCAATCCTTTGACTCGTTTATCATGGAAGATATCTTTTTTTCCCATGTACTGTTAGCCATGTTACAAAAAGTAAAAGTTAAAGTAAACCAAAAGGAGATAAATATGCTATAAATTTAGATTTACCAAACCTACGGTTTTAAGAGGATTCCTCATTTCTGGTTCAATTACAATCTACAGATCACGATTCCTCTCAGCCGGGAATGAGCTTATACTATTACAGTGTCCACCTTTCGAGACTTTTTTTTTTTTTTTTGTATGAACTTACCTTTTTTGAGATTGAATCAATGAGGTCCCAACACAAGGAAATAATAATATGCCACATTAAAACCTTTATATTTTAACATGAAGGGTTTTTTATTCAATATAAAAACTAACACTGCTTTGTTTAATTATACACCCGGATTAATAAAGAATAACATGAACTAAATATATATTTTTTTTGTGATATGAGGAGGGGTGGAGGGGTATTTTTTGTTCTTTTCAGAAAGTATAATTATTGCGGACATATCAAGTAGCTTATTTCTTGTTTTTGTTATTGCCATTAGCAGACCAGAGTTGGGAGAAGTAGGACTATAACTAGGACTGTAGGACTATAACTTGGGGAGTAGGGCTAAGCTTGGTGATGTAGGACTATAACTGGGGATGTAGGGCTATAACTTGGACTAGTCGGGCTATAACTAGGACTAGTAGGTGAGTAACTAGGACTGGTAGGTGAATAGCTTGGACTAGTAGGTGAGTAACTAGGTGATGTAGGACTGTAACTTGGACTAGTAGGACTGTAACTTGGGCTAGTAGGACTGTAGCTTGGGCTAGTAGGACTATAACTTGGACTAGTAGGACTGTAGCTTGGGCTAGTAGGACTGTAACTGGGACTAGTAGGTGAGTAACTAGGACTTGTTGGAGAATAACTAGGGCTAGTGGGAGAATAACTAGGTGAGGTAGGACTGTAGCTAGGCGAGGTAGGACTATAACTAGGACTAGTGGGACTGTAACTGGGGCTAGTAGAGAGTAGCTAGACTGGTAGGTGAATAGCTAGGACTAGTAGGAGAGTAGAAGGACTATAGGGAT